AATTGATTTGTATTGAGGAATGGAAACTCTCGGTGCGAAGTATTAACTAATTTTCATAGTAAACAGTACTAAGGAACTACTAGAAGGAGTCACCTTAGCTCTGTACAATGTATGGACAAAATGTTTCTGTCACCAAAGTGGATAAGTTAAAAATATTCAAAAAGGAAAAATCCAAGATGGCGGCCGAGTTTAAGTATTTTATCTCTGATGATAAATTTAGGAATATATTTTGGGGTACCTGGCTTCCCTGCAGCGAGTCGACCTTTATTGAGCCATGGTAGATTTCGGTACGAAATATTATCTAGGCTACAAATTTTCCCCGATTTTTGGGTAATTTTACAAAACCCAAAATGTGGGAATTTTTTTTCGACATTCTAACATAAGAGTGACGGGGATCTATAATAAATCTCATCTTAATAGTTTCATGCGATTTTTTTGAAAAATTAGGTGGCAACACCAAGCATACATTTCTGTATACTAATACAGAAAGGTAGGTAATGTGAGGTTTTGTATTGTGACCATTGCAATAAAAATTAAAGCCACAGGTCGAAATGGTATACAGAATGGTAGGTTAGGTTAGGTTTTGTATTGCGACTCTTACAGTAGAAATTATGGCCTCAGAATAATATAGTAAACAAAAAGGTAGGTTAGGTTAGGTTTCGTATTATGATCTCTACATTAAAAACTTTGACCCCAGACTAATATAGTATACAGAAAGGTAGATTAGGTTAGGTTTTCTATTGTGACCATTACAATACAAAGTTTCGCCACAGGATGGTACACGTGAAACAAAAATTCACTGTTACAATAGGAAGTCACCTAATCGTATCAAAACAGACAACTCTACTTGCCAACCAAGTCTATTCGAAAAGAAAACCGTCTTCACAAAAAAAATCAACGACAACGCCTCGCGGGCCTCTTGAGGCCCGCGCACACACGCACCCTCTAGTTATCATATAAAACTGGTACTCCCATATTAAAAAAAAACTCGTGCAAATCATTTTTATTTTAGTATTTTGTCACTTTTTTAAATAAAAAATCGAGCGAAGGTATCATTAGTAATCGAGTAGTATATTATAGTTTTGAAATTCTATATTCAAATAAACTTAAATTTAAGCACTTTAGAATAGTATTATTTTTTTTATTTACCGCTCATTCGGAAACCTGTCTCATCACAAGAACGAGCTTGCGTGTTGCTCTTTTAAATAATAGTTCTAACTTTACATTTTCAAGTTGATATGTGTATAGAAGATACCAAATATACCATGTGCGCTATAGCATGGTGCTGGTGGACAGTCAGTGTAGGTGGGAGAACTATTCCATACATTTCTTTTAAGAGATGATAATGGAATGGTGCACACGCCTGCGCTAACGGTTTACACTGGCACCAGTGGAGGATAACATGGACATGAGGTCAGGTCAGTTAGCCTCGTCGTCTCATCGTGGCAAATTCACCAGGAATTTATCACGATGATTACCAAGGAGAACCGCATGGAGGTGACCTGACATGATACGTTGCTAGCAATGAGATCATCAGTCCACATTACTAACAATCCCCTTTCCCCCACTATTCCATATTTAAAAATTAAAAAAGAAACTAGTGACGTCAAGTTTAGCCCGCATTTTGCATAGTGTCTATCTACAGTGAAATTATTGGTTTGGGCTAGACTTCATAATTAAGAATAGTTTGTCCAAGCGGCGGTTCTAGAAGCCTTTGTCTTTCCGAGATATAGCGTTCCAAAACTTTGGGAACCACCATGACCCGTTCCCCCCAGAGACCCTTTCGGAACGCTATCTTGAAGCAAAGGCCCTTAGAACCGGCACTTGGACAAGCTATCCTACTAATAATTTCTCTGTAGACCACTCAGCAAAAACGGGCTAAATTAAAAAGGGACTTTAAGGTTATTTAAAAAAAAAATATCGAAAGCAAAGGACAAAACAGTACAGAACTAATATAAGTTTATAAGATGATATAGTAAATAGTGAAGTAAAATTCATGTACACATTTCCACTTAATAATAATTGCCTAGCATATATATGTATATTCTGTGTCAATATACAGACTATATTATGTATTCTGTAATAACAAGTATATTTGTTGAGTTTTCAGCATCATTATTCATAATTAGGATTTACTAATAGTCCTGAAATTTATTTAGGAACAAATTATATTCATACATGAGTGTAGGCGATGATGTATGAAGTATTTTAATTTATATAGTTAACATGCGCCCAGACCCGGCTTCACATCTAAATTTCAACAAATTTCTATTCTAGCATACTAGCTTTTGCTCGCGTTAATTTATCCCTTAAGGGATGGAATTTATCAAAATCCTTTCTTAGGGGATGGCTACGTCATAGTAGCTTTATGCATGCAAAGTCTCAGCCCGATCGGTTTAAAATTGACGAAGTTTCATACAACTTTCATCCCCTTGGGGTAGAATTAATTCCTTTCTTACTTGCCTACGTCATAACATCTATCTGCATGCCAAATTTCAGCCCAATCCGTCCAGTGGTTTGGGCTGTGCGTTGATAGATCACTATGTTAGTCACCTTTAAGTTATATATATATATATATATTTAGATATGTGTAGGCGAAGATTTATGAGGTATTTTAATTTATATAGTTAACTAACTCTCAGACCCGGCTTCGCATGTAAATTTCAACAAATTTCTATAACACCTTAATGAATTATACACCTAATCCTTCCTCATGAATCACTCTATTAAGGGATGAAAACACCATTATAAACCTATTCATATTTTTGAGATTGTCGCAAACATAAGTTACTATTAAGTTTATTTGAATAAAAATGATTTCTATTTCATACAGACAGACTTTTATATTATTTATATATGTATGCAGTGAAATTAAATGTAGAAATGAATATTTTGAACCACTCTATATGCCTACATAGCTACATCAAGCAATTTTTTTCTCTTTTCTCTTTCCATCTGCCATCAGCTTTATGGCTATAATCAGATATATTGCATTTTTTTTTGGGATATGTAGTCCATTGACTGAGTGAATCCCTTTTATTTTACGTAAGTAGGTACTTATATTTTGGCCAGACGTTCCCTCTTCAAGTGGAATACATCGAGCAAAATCAAGAAAGTTGGAGTCCTGGCATATCAAGATTTAAAGTGCATGATGGAAGATCGTGAGAAGTGGCAAGAGCTCCACTGACAAGAGCGTAGCTCATAAATCATGAATGAATGAATATGGTTACTACCAAATAATGTACTGTTACTATCATTCCTTATTTTTGTATCTGTATACAATTGTCTGTGGAATTTTCAGTAATATTTACATGTTGCATGACCGGTTTAACATTGTCTATCTGTTTTGACGGCCTCGGTGGTCTAGCGGTCTAGCACACCGCTTTACGTCCGATGGTCGCGGGTTCGATTCCTCGCACGGCACAAACATTTGTATTCATGAGTATAATTGTTTGTATCGGTCTGGGTATTTTCTATGTATAATATGTATGTATTTACGAAAAAAAAATTATCTATGTATTTGTATCAGTCATCTAGTACCCATAACACAAGCTTTAGCTAGCTTAACTTGGGTCTAGATGGCGCTGTGTGTATTGTCTTGAGATTATTATTATTATTATTGTTTTTGTAACATTTTTATACTTAGCATATAACCTCGCTTGATAAATTAAAATAAATTAAATAATCGGATCAGTAATAGAGATTTCCCAAACATCCAAACCTACAAACTTTATCTCTTCACAATATTATTATGGATAAAATATTAAAGTGTTTACAATTTAATATACATGACTATACAGTCAGTTCCATAAAGTGTAGATTAATATGTTGGAACCAAAATCTCATTTCAACATTTATAGATATAGAAAACTTCTAAAATAAATTCTTGTATCAAATTAAATAGAAAAAAAATATCTCAAAATATTGAATAAAAATGTGATAAATAAATAATCCAGGACAATTAGCACAGCGCCATCTAGTCCCATGGTAAGCTGTAATAACACGTTGGCAGTATATCAGTTGTCAAATCAGATCTTATTATCTTATAATAAGCATAGAAAAGATATAGTTATTCAGTACAGGAGGCAACATAAAATTGTTTCCTTTATTTTAGAATATTAATAACCAAGCCCAAAGTTATTAATGATCTAAATGAAGCTGACTGTATGTGAATATTTACAATGTTTCTTAATATATATTACAGTGTATTAAAGTATATAATAATTTATAGAAGGCAGCCATTGCACATGTAAGTTTTACTCATGTTAATTTATAAATTAACTTGTAACATTTAAAAACCATAGCCAGAGCTCCTTGGTTCATAAAAAACATTGAAGTATATACATATCTAGAAATTCCAACTGTAAAAGAAGAGATACAGAAAGCCTGTGGAAGATATAAATACAGATTAGCTGGCCATAAGAACCAGTTAGCTTCAAAACTATATATATATATAACTGAATATAAATAACTGTCCATTTAGATTAAAAAGGGCTCGCCTTGCCAACAACTAAAGAAAGTAAATGAGATGGCACCTTACTGGAGGTGCCTCATCTCAAAAAGCCAATAACTTCAAAAAAAATCTGATTATAGCCGGAAGCAGTGATCGGAGATAGAGAGAAATAAAAAAAAAAATCTTGTAACATTAGACCTTCTTATCCATACTGATATTATAAATGCGAAAGTAAGTTCTGTGTGTTTGTAAGTCTGTACCGTTATCACGCCAAAATGACAGAACCAATTTAAATAAAATTCAAATATCTTTTTTTTGCAAAAATAAATGTATTATTATTCCTATGGATGATAATGGAATGATGCACCCGCCTGTACTAACGGTATATGCAGGCGGGGCACCAGTGGGGGATGGTAAGATGAGTATGAGGTCAGATTTGTTAGCACATCATGGTAAATTCACCATGAATTTATTACAATATATATTTTTTTTACCTACACATGCATATAACAGCCCATATGAGAGGCTGATTATATCAAATAGAGTCCAATTCACATTTCCCTACATAAGTAGAACCTACAAGTGCAAAGGCTTAACAATTTATTGATTCATAAAATGTATAATTAAAAAAGTAATAAAATCTCATTATAATACAAAATTGCATTAAAACTTAACCTAAACTTATTATCATTGTTTCACTATACCTAAAGGAACACTTAACTCAGGTGTAAACAACAGAGGGTTAGTTTTACTCGACTTTGATGTAAAGTCATTTGGCTTTTGTAATAACACATGAGGTGCAACTTTTTTAAACAAATGTGTCCGTATTGTTAAAACTACTGTATTAATGAAACCTATAATTATATATATACCACCAATTATCGAAAACAGTCTTAACATAAATTGTAAAAGATTCTCTCGCTCCTGATAAACTTTGACCTTCAAAGCGGCCATGTCATACTTGAAGAACACCCCGGGCACTCCATGTGAGCCTTTCGAATGACTTATTGGACGCTCTAACTCTTTAACTGAGTATTGGTATGTCTTTATTGACTCAAATGTGGTATCGATATCTGTAGGTACCACTTCGATGAAATACTGGTACAGCATATTCTCGTCTGTAGTAATTTTCTCATCACCCTCCAATGGGTAAATTATACCATACGCAGGACTCCCAAAACTGAGTCTGTTTATTCTGTGACTGAAATTCTGGGGTGTGTCATCGAACAACATGTTCAAATGTATATGACCTCGTGGTAGATGCAAACTTTTGCCTGCAGTTATATGAAAGTTACCTGCGACCTTATTGAGGATTAAAACGCCGTGCAGTCTACAGGCATCCGCGCGCCGATTAGGCTTCGTTTTCCTTGGCGGCACAGTCGCACGAACAGACCCATGTCCTTTCTTCCACAATAACTTCCAAATAGAATGATATTCTTCTCTGAGATACGAGTTCAAGTATTTTATAGCATCAAACGCATCCTGCTGTTCCTGCGTTAATTCAAACCATGTATCCTCCTCTTGCAACTCACCGAACCCAAACACGCTCTGAGAAGTCGAGTCTAGGATATCAGCGCCAATATTCGAACAAGGCATAGCGACGGTTATATCTATATTTATTCGTAACTTTTCGTCCATATCTGTATCGGGCATAAATTTAAATACTAAATTACTATCCAAATAATACGTCACTTCACTATAAATTAGCCAGAGAATAATAAAAAAGGTGATGACCGAAAACGTTCCGCCTACCGGCGTACTGTCCACATACTCCTCAGGAACTTTCGGGAAAGCGTCCAATTCTTTCACTTTGTCCAACACTTTCTTTTTACCTCGATATCTCAACATTTTATTATGTCAAATGTTTAATAAAAAATAAAATAAATAGAAATAAAAATTAGTTATCAAAAAGTTGACGTGTATTTGAGTTTTTGACAGGAAAACAAGACAATAATAAAGTGTGGGAATGACAGACCGTGATATGTCAATCCTTCGTGGTTTTATAATTCGGGTAGGTGAATGTCCCATACTGCTTAGTCAAGTAAACAAGTCGGTATTTTGATAACCATAAGTTAATAAACTGTAAACAATAATATATACAGCAAGAAATTGTAAGGAGATTAAAACCAGATTAAGGTGAGAATTTAAATATTATTATCTAAAAGTAAAGTCTTTATTTACGATATAAATTAATGTGGAGATTCTTAAAGGAATTTTAGTAAAATTAAAAATTATTTTTAAACAAATTGAAATAGTGAAAGTACAAGAAATCCAGCATTAAAGTTTAAGATGTTATACTAATAATATTTTATTCCATCAATGGCAAGTGGCAATTCAATTTATATTATAGGCATCAACTACTTAGTTCATAACCCACAGGAACTGGGAAAACAGTCTTATGAGGGCTATAAAATTAATTGAAAATTGACTAAATATAAAAAATGTAATAAAGTTAATTTACAAAAACACATCATTACAATATTTATATTTAAACGTAACTTAAAATCAAGTGTAGTATTTGTGTTTATTAAGAATATTTTTTTTTATTTATGTATTTTACATTTGTTTTGTTTTGTTTTTTATACTGTCTGATATCCACGGAGTTTAATTAGCAATAGGTACTCTGTAATCAACTGATCGGCTGTCATATATGTCATTGTCACTGTCATACACATTACCGACTATTATTCTTATTAAAATTTAACAAAATACGAAATTATCTATTTTTGTCCTCATAAAAGGTTAATTTCAAAAATATTTATGCAGTCGAACGAGGAGGAGTGTCTGCTACATTCATGCTTCAGCTCGTTAAAGACAGCAGTCATGGGTTGCTGCTATAGTTTTTGCAACAAAGAAAACGATCCTCAGGTGATATTTTTCTCAAATAATTATTCGTAATAATTATACAATGCAAAAAATATAGTTTGGTACAAGCCATATACTATTATCACTTTCAATATTATACATTTAAAATGTTTCACTATACTGTGTGTATCGTAATTTGTATAATTATTGTTTAGAATTGTATTGTACATAAGTCATTGGTTTCGGCACTTATTTTCGAGCTACGATTTTATCAACTATTTTATTGTAAACATGGAAGTGAATATGAAACTTCTATTTACGTCTTCATTATCTACGCTTGTGTAAATGAATGTATATGAAAACAAAGGATTGTATTGATGTTTGATGATTTCCTATTTGTGATTTATAAACTGTAGGTATGTTTGATTTCATATTTCCGATTAATCTGGATACATTTGTATCATGTATACTGATAATCTCTACATATAAATAAAATTGGAGTGTCTGTTTGTAATATTGAAGTAACTGTTTTTTACTACATGCATATGAATATAAATGTTGTACATACACCAAAATAACATTTATTTACAATTTTTGTCTGTCTGTCTGTTTGTTTGGTAATCTCTGAAAATGGGAATATAAATAAAATTGGACTTTTATTTTAGAAAAATAAAGTTAAATTTGTGGAGAAATAACAGCTAGTGAATAAATATATTTTAACAAATCATAGTTGTAGATCATATGAATATAAATGTGGATGGTTATAATACACCGAAAAAGAGAAATAACATTTTTTTCAAATTTTTGTCTGATGATGTTGTGTTTAAAAGACTATCACTTTAATTTGTTGTAAAAGATCACTCACTTGAAATGATAAGAGAGACATGATTCAATTTTTGGCAGGTTTATTCACTGATGTAAGTGTGATGCTGCAGTACATAGTGAATAAACAAACATGAATTATATCATATTTGTCTGTTTTATATAAATAACTGACTCTATCAATTGCTAAAAACTGCATTAAAATATATTGCATAGTTTTAAAGAAATAAGTGAACAGATAGCAGAGCAAGTTTCAATTCTGTATGATATGTTTAAGTAAAAAACATATATCCAAATGATAATAAATTCTTGACAAACTGTTTGTTTTATAGATTATACCAATAAATGGAATTTTTCCTTTTGAATACTGCATAATTGGCAATCTGCTGCATATACAATAGTCCAATATGTTGACTCATTTTTCTTGAATTGTATGTTCCTTTTAAATTAATGATGCTGCTCCAATGAGTCAGTCCTCAGCCGTTGTCTGTGAATCTTTCCGCTAGTCCCTGGATGTCATGTCTTTTAAGTCGAGAGAATTTTAAACTCCCTGATCCCTGCAGTTATACGGCCAGTTCATTTCTGTGTCTATTTAGTCTAGATTGATAGCTTCTACTGTAGGATTGTATTTCCTGTTTGACAGTGTTTAAGTTTATGTCCATATACATATGCTTGTTGCTTATGTATTGTGGAATATTGAGCATGTTTCCCATGGTTTTACTCTGGAACCTCTCTAGAATTTCAATATTGCTATTGCTGGCTGAGCCCAATAATTGGATGCCATATGTCCAGATAAGTTTGTGATGGTTTTGTATACAGACAGCCAGTAGAAGCTATGGATTTTGGTATCTAGTTGTTTGCGTTTAGTCCATATGTGTTTTTGCCAGGTCAGTCTGCAATCAAGATGCATTCCCAGGTACATGGCATCATCTGCTTGAGGTACCTCATCTCCGTACAGGAGTACAGGTGGACTGATGATGATGTTTTTTTTCTAAGTGTATAGGTTACTTATATAGGTTTGCTTTTGTTCGCTCTTATGCGCCACTTTTCAAACCACTGTTCGACTAGCGTCAGATGTCTTTGGAGGTTTGTCGACGCCCTCTCTGGATTCTCGTGGACAGACAGAAGGGCCGTATCATCAGTGTATGTAGCAGTGCAGTGGTTGTGATGTTCATTGTGGGTAGGTCAGCAGTAAAAAGACAAGACCGGTCCCAAAATGCTACCTTGCGGTACGCCAGATCGTATTTCATGCAATCCTGACAGCTTGTCGTTGAGCGTTACTTCCAAGCATCTTTTGTTTAAATTGAATTAAAACTCAAAATATAAACAATGAAACATTGTCAAAGTGAGACTCGAATTCAAATTCAAATTAAAAAAATCACTTATTCATATTTTCATTCACTTGGACATATTAGCAGCAAAATTTTTACATTATAATTTTAATTTTTTTCCTTCCATCCAGTTCAGTATATAGATTCAATTGACAAGAACTGACAAGAAACTCAATTGAATGTTTTATTTATTTCCTTTAAAAGCCAGTTTATTAACAATGTCTATTTATATAGGTTTCTATGTCTAACATTAAATGAAAATCCCGTGCATGAACAACTACTGCCATGCACGCTCGTCATTCAAGTAATCGTTATCGCGCTAATTCTTTGGTATCTTATTGTAAGATATATATATGTGGATATAGTACATATATAGATGTTGTAAAGGCATACATCTATAGATTTATAGCCAAAGAGTGATTCGAACAGGACAGATTAATGTTTGACATTTCTAACAAAGAACATACAAAACTTTGATCAAATAATTACGTAAAAGTGAAGTTTGCAAAGTACTTTAAAGTACTTGGAAATTCCTGACGGATTCTATAAATTCTTGATTGATGGTTCATTATTATTATTATAGAATAATAATAATAATAGACTAGAGTAGACTATTATAAGATACCTATGTGACTAATCAGTTTGATGTTATTGTTTATAGGAGCACATAGTAAACGAAAGAACGCATCTTCTCGAAGTGGCGGAGCAACAGCAAGAAACTCCGGTACCGACGTCGTCGACGTCCACGCCGCCCCGCAAACCCGACGAGCAGAGTGCTCTCAACAGGATATTACATGAGACCGCCACGTGAGTTATCTATCTATCTATAGATATAGATGACTAGCAACCGCAACTTCTACATCACACTAGACACTTATACTAGCTGTGTCCGCGACTTCGTTCGCAGCGCATGCAACGGAAGTCTTCAAATATGAATAATTTTCTCCGTTTTTATTATTATTTTTCAATTATCATTATCAATAAGTGTAGGGATTATCATCTATACATATAAATAAAAGTGGAGTGTCCATTTGCAACATTCAAAATAACCATTGTTTCCCACAAGCATATGAATATAAATACGGTACATACACCAAAAAATCACTTTTTACAATTTTTGCCTGTCTGTCTGCTTGTTTGTTCCGGCTAATCTCTGAAATGGCTGGACCGATCTTGACGGGATTTTTTTTGGCAGGTAGCTGATGTAATAAGGAGTAACTTAGGCTACTTTGATTTTAGAAAAAAAATCATACTCATGAATACAAATGTTTGTACCTTGCGAGGAATAGAACTCGCAACCATTCGAAATAAGGAAATGTCTCCAGGAACGTGATCGATGTGGGCGCCTTAGGCCCGTACGCACTGGAACCGGGTGCGTACAGCGAGCGGGTCCGCGCGTACACGGCGCGAGTGGCGGCCGCGCCCCTGGGCGGGCCCGGGCCGGGGGCGGGCCCGGGGCAGGGGCCGGGCCCGGGGCCGGGCCCGCTGGTGCGTGCGCTTTCACCGGGGCATCGCCTGCTGGCCGATGTACCGCCGCCGGAGCGCAGCGGGCTGCTTGCGCGTCCGCCTCTCACGCACGATGATAAGGAGCTGGTGAGTTTCCGTGATTCTTTTTAGATTTTTTCTGGTCACGGAAATTGCAATTGCAATAGTAGTAGAGTTACCATGAATGCCATATTAAAGGGTAAAAGAATATGCGTAAATCTTTATGCTCTATTACTGTTAGCCCTAGCGGGGTTCCCTCAGACTAAAGTCGTATCCGTTAGCCAGGAGTTGGCATTTAGCCGCTCCATAAGACTTTCTACGGGTTTGGAGTGTCGTTTACACTCGGCATTACATTACCATTAAAGGTCAGCTGCGGCCAACAGCATTAGAATAGTTCGAAACAAATGCTACTATTACCACTAAATTTAGAATAAACCTAACATTATTCTGATTGTTTACCATTATTATGTACATGAATATCTTGTCAGTTTTTACCCCAATCAAAAATAAATTACAAACAATTGTTATTTGTCTTCATTATAACTCATTAATATATAATATTTATTAATGTTCTGAAAATCGTGAATTAAATTTAAGTTTTATAATAGAAAAAATAACAAATAACGTCTTTTATATATTTTTATTGTCTTACTTTAAATATTTTTAGTTAATATATTTTTAATTTAGTTATAAAAATAAACTTACAATAGAACAATTTGTATTTTTGCATTTAGACCATTTAAATTACAAGACCATAGACGAATCACGATTTAGAGATAAACTTCATTTTGTAATAAGGAATACATTGGTGAATGGTTTATTACTAGTAAACAGGTTTATCTTTTTGATAGATTAACATTTAAATATATTTTATAAAAAAATTGTTATTTAAGTGACTGTGTTAAATGTCCTACGTGAATTAAATTTAAGTTTTATAATAGAAGCAGCGGCCAATGTCTTACTGGCTGAGTATGTAGTTATAAAAATAAGCCTGAACAATTTGAATTTAATTATTAAGCAAGCTTGTGTATGTTTGAACATTTAAATACATTTTATAATACAAATAATGTCAAACAAACATACTCATGAATTTGTATTAATGTGTATGTTTCAATATCCATCAAACAAACATACTCATGTTTGTTTCGGTTGTTTGAAATATTTGTAGGTTTATACCATGTGAGAGTATTGTCACACGCGACCATCGAAAGTACCGCTGGACAACCGTTACCGTAGCATTTTAATCTTAATACATTTTTAACATTACAGATAACAAATGCCGTGAAGAAAGCAGCCGCAGCACTGTCGGAGCTGCGCGTGGAGCATCATGAGGATCTGGTGGTGCCGTTTAGGGTGCCATAGCAGCGGTCCTCAGCCTCATACTCCGAGGACGAGCGAGCCGGGTACTGATAGATTGTTAAATAGGGCTCCTGATTGTAAATTTATATTGTAATCGACGGCATGTTACAATGAATACCGCTTTACTGAAATACAAGATCTAAACATGTATTCGTATTTCTCCAAAACATGTTTTGTGACATGTATTCTGATGGATTTTTAAAATACAAGATGAAAACATGTATTCTTATTTTCCTCAAGATATGTTTTTGCGACATGTATTCTGAATTTAAAAATACAACATGAAAACATATATTCGTATTATCGATCAAAACATGTTTGCAACGCGTTTTGCGACATGTATTCTGATGGAATTCGAAAATATTTCAAAATACATGTCCAAACATGTGTCCTGGAGGAAACGATCGTTGTAACATTATCAGATAGGGTCATGTTTTATATATTTTTCATTATGTTTATAAAATTTAGCTTGAATGCTCTAAATACAGGGTTAGTCCAGAAAGGTATACCAGAGCCATAAAGCTGAACCAAGAATCAAACTGGAAATATGAAATGGATAAATGATATCAAAAACAAAAGATTTTTTTATAGCAATGGCATTAAATCGGTCCACTGGTATCTAATAAGGTTTTAAAATTGTCTATATTTTGGATATCAATAATTTTTTTAAATTCTGTTTTATTAAATCTATTACTGGCTTCCGGTTTGGTCTATCTTTTACGACTAACGTTGTAATACAACATATTTTATACATCTACGATATAGCTATGAATGAGGTAAAAGTTGTATATAAACAGCAGCTAATGCACTCGGTTCTCTCTGGCTACCCCGTATGGGATGTAGCGTGATAAATTGATATATATCTTAATGTATGATGCGTCGTACGAGGTGTAACAGAAAAGGTATAATAGTTAAAGATAACTCTTTCATGTAACTGAAATGGTAAGCCAATGGGCCTCCAGATGGTAAGTCGTAACCGTCGTCTATAGATACATGAATAGTTATCACGTTATCATGTAACGCCTGATGCTATTCATACGTTGCTATTGTCAGTTCTCATCTCGAAATCATTCCGAACTGACAGTAGATTTGACATATCATAAGAGTCTGTAATAGACCTACATGAATAAAGATTATTAAACTTTGATTTTTTAAATTTTGATGACTAATGTAACTTGTAATTTCATTGCCATAAATTATTTTAAAACTTTCAAGTAATTCTACAGAATATATATGTCGTACTTCATGATATTATTTTTTATTGTTAAACTTTCAGAATTATTAATCATACTCTGTGGTGAAAGTTGGTCTATATCATAAATTATATATCTTTACATAGTATAAAACAAAGTCGCCGCCGCTGTCTCTTCGTTTATATCTTTTAAATTAGCTTTTGCCCACGGATTCGCTCGCGTTAATTTATCCCCCTATAGGTAGAATTAATCATAATCCTTTCTTAGCGGATGCTTATGTCATAACATCTACCTGTATGCCAAATTTCAGCCTGATCCGTCCAGTGGTTTGGGCTGTGCGTTGATAGATCACTATGTCAGTCACCTTTGAGTTATATATATTTAGAAGAAGATTACGAAACGAATTTTAATGCGGTTTACAATAATAGATAGAGCGATTCAAGACGGAGGTTAATACGTATAATACATGCGTATTATAGTATAGAACAAGTCGAGAAATTGGAAAATTTGTAATGCATACGAGCGAAGCCAGAATGGGTCGCATAGTAATTTTAAATAGAAGTGTGATTTTTAATTTTTATACTCAATCTGTTACACCTTGTATTTTGTAATTTTAATTTAATGTCAAATGGAAGAATATGGATTTTTTTTTATCTATTATATTTTTATGTAAATAAATTAAATTATCTTATTAGATAAAACGCCATGAAATATTTTTTTCAAAATTAATATACGACTGATATTATACTGTAATATATATCACAGAACAACTCACACAGCGCCATCTAGTCCCAAGTTAAGCAGAGCTTGTGTTATGGGTACTAGACTACTGATAGAAATTCATAGGCACATTATTTATAAATACATGCATAATATAATGAAAGACCGACACTGATACAAACAATCAAGAATACAATTGTTTGTACCGTGCGAGGAATCGAACCCGTGACCATCGGAAGTAAGGCGGTGTGCTCAACCACTAGACCACTGAGACCAGCAATGTTACATTTATTATAAGTGCAATAAATATGAATATCAATTGAATTATGTTTTCTTTAAAACTACGCGTATATTATAAACTAGCTTTTGCCCGCGGCTTCGCTCGCGTTAATTTATCCCCATAGGGGTGGAATTTATCAAAATCCTTTCTTTGCGGATGGCTACGTCATAACATCTACCTGCATGCCAAATTTCAGTCTGATCCGTCTAGTGGTTTGGGCTGTGCGTTGATAGATAACACGTCAGTCACCTTTGAGTTATATATATTTAGATTTCTTGAGCAGCTATTCCTCAGCAACGTTTAAGTGAAACGATAATTGAAAAATGAATGAGTCAGTTTATTTTTAATTTTTAATCGCACATTTATTGTGGCTATATCAAGATAACAAAAATTTCACGAAATTTATTTAAGACATCATCTATTCTACAGTCTGATTATCTACCGGAAACAAATATCAATTCAATGACATTAAATTAGATTGTGGAATGAACTACCTGCCGAGGTTTTCTCGAGTGACTACAGGACGGGTTATTACTACAGTTTTCAAGAAGGGTATATTAAGGTTTCTCATGGCTTAGCCTAGAGATCTTTGAGTTTAAGCGTCCATAGGCTACGGTAACATTGCACCTTTATATACCCCATATTAAGGTATCTTTAGTGTCTGCAACGCGCACGTGACACCCCTGGTGTTTCAGGCGTCCATAGGCTACGGTAACATTACACCTTATTATACCCCATATCAAGGTTTCTTTAGGGTCGGCAACGCGCACGTGAACACCCCTGGTGTTTCAGACGTCCATAGGCTATAGTAATGTTACACATTATTATACCCCATATTAAGGTTTCTTTAGGGTCTGCAACGCGCACGTGACTCCCCGTGGTGTTTCAGACGTCCATAGGCTATAGTAATGTTACACCTTATTATACCCCATATTAAGGTTTCGCGCACGTGACACACGTCCATAGGTGTTTCTTTTCTGCAACGCGCACGTGACTCCCCGTGGTGTTTCAGACGTCCATAGGCTATAGTAATGTTACACCTTATTATACCCCATATTAAGGTTTCTTTGGGGTCGGCAATGCGCACGTGACACTCCTGGTGTTTCAGACGTCCATAGGCTATAGTAATGTTACACCTTATTATACCCCATATTAAGGTTTCTTTAGGGTCTGCAACGCGCACGTGACACCCCTAGTGTTTGCGTCTATAGGCTACTGTAACCATTTACCATCAGATACTATCCTACAGGCCGTATCCTTGTTTGCCACCTACGAATTTAAAAATAAATACGTCGCTTACTGCCTTTGTTTCTATTACACAACTATTTCAATATCAAAATATGATTATTACAGACTCTTATGATATGTCAAATGAAGTCCAATCTACTATTTATTCGTGATAAAACTGTCATTTTATTCGATTTATTTGGTTCATTACTGATTATGTATATTGGATTGAAATCGGTATGGATGTTGGAATGTAGAATAAACTTGCTGTTCACGATTTATACTGTATTGTTTAAATCATGCCATACTAAACTGAAATTGTACTAACACATTCTTTTTTAAAGAACTTCCATGAAACCCATCCTGTAGTTAAAACTTACATTTTGTGTGATATTTTATCACGTCTTACAAATATTATAAACGCGAAAGTTTGTGTGTATGGATGGATTGGATAGACGGATGGATGTTTGTTACATTTTCACGCAAAAACTACTGAACCGATTTTGATGGTGCTTTACAGTAATATAACATATAGGCTATAAATTTCATGCGAGTGAAACCGCGGGCACAGCTAGTTTATAATATTACATTTGATTTGCCATTTTAATAAAAGTGCCTCCATATGTACGAATGCTAAACATGTAATCAAAATTCAAGACTGAATTTGATAACAGAGGCTTGAATTATAAAGTTATATATTAATGTAAATATTATATACTAATATATTATAATATATAAAGAAGAACGATTTGTTATTATTTGTAATTTAGAACTGATTTATTAAATTTACTCGCCAATTGTATAATTGAGAACTTAGAAGAACCTATAGATTGTAATTTTCAATGAGTAACACGGGCTGTATTTAATTAAAAAAATATACAGATCTCCATATTAATTGTGTAATAACTACTAATAGTATATTATGATTTTTATGTACTAAAATTGTAGAGTTTTTTTTTCTGTAAAAGGTAACATACTTACATAGCCTCGACATATTACTTGAAATGTTATCTAATTGATCCCTGATCTTACTGAATATTATAAATGCATAAGTGAGTTTTGTTTGTTATTTCACATTTAAACAGCTTAACCAATAATCACGAAATTTGCAAAACCTACACTTTGTATTTTGTTTGATGAAGGACCTTGAGCTACTTTGTATTCCGATCAATCGTATTCATGAGTTTAAAATCGATGGAACAATCTACTAATTAATTAATACAGATACATAATTAAAGTTACCTATTTGAATTATAAAAATATATAGAAGCATGGAAATATGAGTGAATGGTCTTTGCCTATCAGTTCATAAAAAAAAAACAATAAAAAAATGGCGTTCATAACCTAAAAATGCAAAGGAGTCAGATAGAATTGACTGAATCGGCCTTGGACCAAAAATAGTTATTATTTAATAAGTTTATTCATATTATTCATAGTTTTTAAGCAATGTCTATAACCAGTATTTTATAGAATCTACTATATATATTCTTTAATTTTACAGTTTTATTAATCAGCCATATTTTGTTCTCTGAATTGTAGATGTAATTTGTTTTTCATATTTACAGTGACTAAATACACAATTTCTTTTATAATGTATAATATTTCTATAGGAGCAGCTGTATTCTTCTGTCTTTTTATGAAAGTACTGGCAAAATTTACATTTATCTGCCAAGATTATCTACATCTGCCACATTTATCTACATTGTGAACATACATTAAATTTCTCTTTGACATTAAAGAAATATTGGAAAACTTCATAGATAAAATGATTAATGAACAACTTATTCAATTAATTTCTAAATATAATTGTTCAATGATTGTATAGAGGTATACATGCATATCTCTTCTACATTAATAAGGTTTATTTCTCTTTTCATTTATACTTGTTAAATAATCATTTAAACAATTTTCAATATTTAGATTATTGAAAATTGTTTAATGATAGCCTATAGATATACATATCTCTTCTACTATATTAATAACTCCATAAGTCAAAATTTGGTAAATAACTTGCGTTTAATTATTGCTATAATCATGTTTTTCTTAATCAGTTCCAAAATAAATGCACACGACAGTAAATTGAACACAATATCGGTGCAGCGGTAGGGAGTGCCCTGGATAGCTTTCTGTATTGCCTCGTACGTAACGAAAGGAATCATCCATACATTTTTTTTTTTGTTCCCCACCCAATGAGCTGTTTTTATTTTAGTAGTAAGGGGTCCTGCTCTATGTTTTTTACACGAAATTTTAACAACTTGCCATACAATGTCACATAGGGTTAGTAGTTATTAACAATCTCTTTCCCTGCAGTCAATATTAAGTTTAATATATAAACATTTTTTTTTGACAAAGCAAATGTATGAGTGACCATAGAGCAAATATCGCTGCATTTTAAGAGTTGGCAATGCTCTTAAGATGACAAAACCGAAAATTTGTACAATCATCTTTAGTAAAGAATTGTTGTTTAAAAAAAGCGTTTACGATTCTTTCATAAAAAAAAATGTCCTAAGACAGTAAAGGTCTAACAGTAGCTTGTTACTTATGAAGTATCTTAAGATTAAGCTAAAATGAATAACAATGACTAAAATAATGTTTTTGGAAAATTTTACTTATTATTTTAACCTTAAAGTCGATTTCCTAAATACCTTTCTAATATTTGTAGTTAATACAGTATATTATTCAGCCTGACGCTTGTTCATCGCTAGACAGTGTGCTATCGCAATTGTGATACGATTTTCGGCGTTAAAATTTTTGGCTTCGGCCTTCGACTGATTTTAACCGACGCCGAAAATTATGAAATTATTACATTGAATCTAATTATTTCAAACCAAAACAGGTCAGCTACTTTATTATGTTACACAGTTGCTAACAGTTTTCATTTGTAACAGATTTATACTTACAAAAAAAGGTACGGTTCATAATTGTAACTCTTAAATGTTTCTTGGACAATCGCAAAACTGTAAACTTGAAATGCTAATGTTAGCAACTGTGTTGGAGAAATAAGCTCCAGATATTACTAAACTAGATAAAATGTATAAAAACAGATTTGTACCTCCAATTCTCTCTATTTTTTATTTTGTTATTTCTCTTAATTTACTTTTATATTTCTTAAAATGAGCTTAATAAAATGATGACAGTAAAATTGAGTTCCTTTGCACAACTTAAATAAACAAAAAATTGTACAACAACAATACAAAAACGGGCAAGTTGATAATTACGCTAAGTTTACCCTTTTTATACTAAGCAAGTGATCACTATGTTTTACATTTATAGTTTTATTTAAAAATATAGCTGTTTTTAGTTAATATTTAATCTATGTGCGTTTGGTTCCCGCCAAAAATTATCTGCCGGTACTACGTACGTCGCAATTTTTTTTAGACGGTGCTTTTGTCTGTATACTTATGTCTCTAGAGGACAATTACCACTTAGCATCTGGTGGGTTTGTCAGCTAGTTTACCATACCAGTTGCATATAAAATATAGACATTGCAAGATCTTCCAATTAAAATCAATATTTAGCTAAAAATCAGTATAATTTGTTACACCTAGTTGCAGTTAATGAATTTCTGCTTAGAACCGAACGTCCATAGGTCTAATTCTTAAATATAAAAAATACATTTATCTCTAACAAATGTATTTTTTTTCTACTTAAATGCATGTGTATTATATTAAAATAGATAGCTAACAAATATAAAATTTTATATCATTAATTTCGTTTTGTTTTTTAATATAGCTGTGTGGCCAATCTGATTGTGACGGGTCATTATTGAGATATTTACGGATATATAATTGAATTCAAGATTATTTCGCGGTGTTTTTGCACTATGACAAATTTATTTATTAAGCCAGAAAATAGTGCAATTAAAAATCATTTTTACACGAAATGTACTAAGATTTGTTTTATTTGATCCGCTTAAAAATATACTAGTCCTATACCTGGACTGTACTAAATGGTAAAGGATCTAACTTGTAGATAGAATAAGTAAGAGTATACAAGTGAGCCTGGCCTTGATTAGGTATATGGTTCAAATTTGATTGTCCTCTTAAACACTTTACAACTATTTATGCATGAATTGGTAACACTAAAACATTTTCTGCCATTCTACATCTTTCTACTATAAATAAAATTTAATGTTGTTCATCTATAACATCTTTACATAGTATAAAACAAAGTCACCGCCGTTGTCTGGTCATTTATTTCTTTTAAATTACTCTACATATTTTCATGCAGTTTTCAGCAATAGATAGAGTGAAGGTTTATATGTATAATACATGTGTGTTATAGTATATAACAAACCGAGAAATTCGAGGATTTGTAATGCATCCGTGCGAAATCGAGACGAGTTTCTAGTTATTCTATTAATAAAAAAGTCAAATATCTCAATAATGACACCACAACAGCTTGTATTGTGTATTCTACTTAGTTTTATTATAGAATGTCAGTTATTTTGTTATGTTATTATTAGGTATGCATATAATTATTGTAACTATTAAATAAAGTGATATTTATATTAAATTATTTGTCTTACCATATACCAGTTAATATATAAGATCGTAATTAATATAAACGCCGCAGGAAGATTACTGGAACCATATTCCTGGTTATGGTTGCACATCTTATGTATGATAATTGTATGGTGCACCCGCCAGCGCTGACGGTTTACTCTGGCGGGACACCAATGGAGGATGATAAGATGAACATGAGGTGAGTTAGCCCATCATGGTGAATTCACCATGAATTTGTCACGATGGTTTCCAGGGGTAACCACGTGGATGTCAACATTACTAATAATCTCCTTGCCCCCTATGGCTGAATTACTGCATACCCCCAAACCCCTCCATACAAAACGTGTTTTAATGAAATTTTTCTACAATAATTTAATTCAATTAAATATTGTCTATAGGTCCATAGGAAAGCAATTTATATCAATATATCACACTGTTCAGATTTCCTATAAAGAAGTACATTTTAGAATTACACGTAATTGAAAAACTCGATTTTCGATAGGGTAAAGAGGATTCGTATATGAACATTCCGAGACAGTATACGAATTAGAAAATTGTGCAAGATATTAGAACTTATAAATCACCAATTAAAGAAAAGAAACATGTTTATATATTTTCTAAAAAAAACTATAATCTGTCAGGTTTTTTATTCCAATTACATTTATGAATATATAGGTTAGGTTTTTGATATGTCGCATGTCGATTCGATTTCTTAAACTCTTGAAATTTATACCACATCGACATATTTTTTATTTTCTTGAATTTCTTATATGTTCAATTTAATTTCTCATAAAATCACGACACATCGGAACATACAATCTCCAAGTCCCAAAACTTCCCCACACGAACCCTATCCGGAAGACCCCCCGAAATCCACGACAGCGAAGAGCATATCCCACACTCCCGCCTTTTTCTGAATATTATTAGGCACATTGATGAAGAAAAAGTATAATCCATCACATTTAAAATAAGTATTGCTAAGTAACAGTTTGTATGTAACGAGCAACTGCGATCGGAACGAAAGTAAATTATATTGACTGCTATATATGTAATCCACTCAATATCTCCATCAAATATATCGTGCTAGCTTTGTTTTTTTTTTATTTGACAATGACTTAGCCATTCTGTCATTCGTGTATACCTTTTATCTTATTTCACAGTCATAATAAACATTTTTAGAACAGTTTTTTTTGTTAATTACTTATTACAAATAATATTAGTATTATAAATATATACTTGTAATTGCCATTCGTTGTCATGTCTGTCTTTGACGGAGAAATTGAGTTTCAATCAGTGTATATGACCGATTACGGAAAGAAGAATAAGCCGTAAGTTGTTTCATATCTTATCGATGCGAATAAATAAATATGTGTCTGTTTGGAATTTCAAGTTAATAACTTTTCAACGTATATTACAATATTTACTTTTGAAGTTTAACAAATATATTTATTACTATTATTTACATAACCTAATTGTACAACTAAAAACCTAAAATTAAAAAGATTAAAAATATAATATGATGACTAAAATATATTAATAAAGTTTTGAAGTATATTACAATATTTACATCAAAAACAATTATTTTTTTGTATGTCTGTCTGTTCTTGCTAATCTGGACCGATTTTTATAGGTCTTTCACTAGGAGACAGCTAATGTTACAACGATCTCATCATCCTCCACTGGTGCCCCGCCAGCGTATACCGTTAGCGCAGGCGGGAGCACTACTCCGTTATAATTCATTAAAAAAAATATACTGATATATTAAGAAGAGAGATATTTTGATTTGATTTGATGTAGAATTAGGTACATGTAATATTGTTAATTTTTTTTATAGAAAAAGTCCTCGCCGTAAAGCTATAGATGATAATTGTTTGATCGTCGGACTGAGTAGAGATGCACTCAAAGCTAAGGACGTCCCTCGACGTTGCCCGGATATTCTGTGTCCCATTGACCATGAATATTACAAGGATTCAGTAAAGAGGGTAATGTTGTTATATGTATCTATAGCAATTACAAAAAAAATAGAGCACGTTGTGATCTATGGATCGTGAATTAATCATCGCCCATACGCAAATAACGTAGCCCCTCAGTGTATTATATGCTCGAGCAGCAAAGTTCTGGTTTTATAAATTACTAGCCTCGACTTCGCTCTGGTGTCATATGTATTACAGATAAACCTTCCTTTGAATCACTATCTATGGTTAAAGACTGTATTAAAATGCGTTAAAAGATTTAAGCGAACAGACAGCAGAAGTGACATTATTTTCTACTTTGTAAAGATTAAATTAATTCTATTCAGTTCGCAGAAGATTATCCAAAGCTAACAAAGATATATATGTCTAAAGATATAGACCCTACACCTATAGAACACGAGATGCAGGATCTGAAGAGGACAGAGTATTTGACTAAGTATTGCGCTAGAGGTAATTTTGTTTTATTTTAATCCGTAGTAAAGTATAGAAGGCGCCAAAAATAGAGGTGATGTATAAAAGCCTGGATCCTTCTGGTGATTATAATCCCCTCCAATCGATCCCCCGTCCAATTCAAACGGGGATCGATATTACGACGGCCTGAGCCGAGGTCCGAACCCCTAGTGGTGCCCTCAGGCTAAAGTCGTATCCGTCAGGCAGGAGTTGGCCTTCAGCCGCTGCATAAGTCCTTCCGCGGGTTTGGAGTGCCATCTGCAGACGCCCCCTAACGTCCGGTTAAACTGTAAAGGCCAGCTGCGGCAAACAGCATTAGAGTAGTTCGAAAAAAAAGGTGATCATAATTATATAAATAAATCTTGGGCTCGTAGAACTGGGAACATTATGTGATACTGAACTTTAATTAGGTCCCAAAATTGTTGGCCCAAATGCAGTTTTATGTGATAGCGAACTTTAACGTCCCAAAATTGTTGGGCGTTTTGGACATAAATGTTAGCCGTATTAGCTACAACATTAATATATCAAACGTTAGTAACTACGAGTTCTGATTCGCACCGGACCAATATTGAGTAGACGAAATCTTAATCTTAGGGGGAAGGGGATTGTTAGTAATGTAGACTGATGATCTTATTGCCAGTAATGTACCATATCAGGTTGACCTCCAAGCTTTTCCCCCTGGATACCATTGTGGTTAATTCCTGGTTATTTAATCACGATGGGTAAACTGACCTGACATGCTCATTTTATCATCCTCCACTGGTGCCCCGCTAGCGTAAACCGTTAGCGCAGGCGGGTGCACCATTCTATTATCATCCATAAAAAAAATCTTAATATTTTTGTCTGACAACGAACACTTTACTTCATACCAATATCAATTCATGATTTGTGACCGTCATTCCAAATATGGATTGGGTGAAAATATTCCAATATAAATTCATTATTTATTGATAGATTATACTATTGTTACGCTTCCTTTAATAATGTATTCAAATTTTAATCTTAGCTTGTTAAAAATGTGTTGATTGAATGTTGATTCTGTATGCGTAGGAACGAGGATAATATTTTAAGAAAGGTGTTACATATGAATGTGGATGGTTATAAGGGCAGAGGAAGGCCGAAAAAGAGATGGATGGACTGTGTGAAAGATGATATGGTAAGAAAGGAAGTAAATAACGCGATGACTGCGAACAGGGATGAATAGAAGCGAAAAACATATTACGCCGACCCCAAATAAATGGGATAAGGAAGAAGCAGATGATGATGAATGTTTATTCTGGACAGTGATTTTAAAACTAGCAAGCAATCACAATCTTAGCTTTTAGCGCAAACTGAAAACCACTACAAACGTTTATACTCTTCGCAAATGTGTAATTGAAACGCAAATATATGCAGCAAATTTACTTTTATTTGTGCTAAAAAAAATTGTCATAGGAATGGCTACTAGCGCTTGTCGAACTCTATCTACACTCTTGAATTTCTGTGTTCTTTTTATGGTTTGCCAAGTGTGCGGACGTGGGATAAAAAGTTCAGCTTAAAAGAATGCTTAAAACAGAATGACAGAAATACGATTTCAATAAAAACTACTAGTGTAGATATCGATAATAATTTAAGTGTACTAAATTAATTAATGGTAACAATTTCATAAAATACAATGTAAATACCGTGGACAATTAATACAGCGCGTGGACATTTAATTTTCAGAGCTACCATTCATGTCTGCGAATCTGGCGCGTCGAGCTCGTGCTCTGCAAACCCTGCGTCTCCCTGATGACGTTTATATACCAGATACCAGCCAGCTTAGCTCCTACCGCCACCCCAAGCCGGAGAAGTACGCTGAACACCCCTCCACCATGTCCATGAGACCAAAGTTTGATCCATCATTGCAAAGTAAGAAAAAAGTTGTTAGATGGCGCCACTACGTTATATGTCATGGAGACAGAAGCGCCATATTTTCTAGACTACCTAACTGTCTTGGCTCTTCCACGCCACAGAATCCATAGGTGGTATGGCAATAGTGGGCATATAATATTTTTGAGAGGACTGTCTTAACTAGTAGACTTAGATGTCACTTATCCTGTAATTTGATTACCTAATCTCACCCTAAGCTCTACTTCTTAGCGGCTGAGATAGGTGAAATCCACGCCAATGACTTTTTGTAGTCTATCTTGGTAAAAGAGAGAGGAACTTCTTAGCATTCCATATATTCACCGTGTGGCAGAGAGGAAAATTCCGAGCAGTTCCCGGGCCTTGTGACCCGGGCGTAGGTTTGACCCCTTTGCCGACGTCACGGCCCGTTATTACGGTTCCGTTTGCGGAGAATAATTTGAATTCGCTAGCGGTCTCTTTGGTCTTTGCTTCCTTGACACCGGAGCAAAAATCTATAGAGTCGGTTATAGCTAGTTCCGTCTTATTCTGAGCTGAATCTAGTTTATAGTACGGCATGTCACATACGCCAACACTCAACTTCAACCCTCGTGTTCTCTCCCTGCTCAGTCCAGGATCCAGATAAGAAACTGCTAGTGCAGCTCTTTCTAGTATATAACTTAAGTGTTTTTTTTATGGAATAGTGCACCGGCCTGCGTATGAGGTCAGGTCAGTTAGCTCATCGTGACAAATTCACTAGGAATTTATCACAATGGCTTGTTGGTTGATGGTTTTCCAGAGGGAACCGCGTGGAGACCTGACATGGTACATTGCCAGTAATGGGGTCATGAGTCCACATTACTGACAATCCTTTTTCCCCCGGATTGCTAAGTTAAAATAATGTAATTCCACAGAGGAGCTTCGTCGCATTTTGCGCGTGCGCACCGGCGATACCACGTACGGCGCGTGCCACGGGTTACTAGGACAAGTGGTGCTGGAGAAGAATCCATTTGGTCCACCTCGCAAAGAACCCAAATATGGCAGATGGCTGAATCCGTATATTTACACCTATAGAATTTAGTGAAATTATACGATTATGAATAAATATTACCCCCTTCTAATTTCTTTCCTCATTGTACCTGCTAATACATATCGACTATTGACGGCCTTGGTGGTTTAGCATAGTCTTACATTCGATGGTCGCGGGTTCGATTCCTGGCACGGCACAAATATTTGTGTTCATGTATATATAAATAGTATATTAATTAGAAGTTTGTTACAGAGATATAAAGGTATAAAGAATAAAGTAAAATAACAATTAAGAACACATCAAATTAGTATGTCTGCAGAAGAAGTCTTTTATTTTCCCGCGCAAACATAATGAGCCACAGATACGCAATATTGCATGGCGCGTAGATGTAGTAGGACGAAGAGCGCGTCATAGCTGTATGTGATGTTAATTTTATAGTAAATTTGTTTGTAATACTTTATTGTTCAATAAAATTATAAATAAAAGGACATAATTGACTTAACGAATAAATGTGTACAATGAGGGATTTCTTCCAGTCCACCTTTGAATAACTAAGTAAGTATGAGTATTAACAAGAGTAATTTTGATTTGTACCCACGTAAATAAATTGAATATTTTTCGAAATGTGGTCCCTCGCAGACTTACTTTCTTACTTAAAAGTAGATCCGAATCATATCGAATCAAAATATTGGCAATTTTTCACCCAAACATTTCATAGGAGAAAATAAATCTAAGGAGGTTGTCATATCAAATAGCCATAATAGTAAGCAATACACAGTTACGTCACAATTGACAATACCCCAAAATGCAACAAATTTGACTAGATTATATTTTATAAATAATTAATTATGCAAAAATATTAGAACAGTTATTGAGAAATTATCAGAAGTTATGTACAGTTGATCGAGAAATAGATACACATAAACTTACATTATGGACCACTACCTCACCACTTATAGGAAGGACTACCTATGGCCAAATCTTCCAGGGTCAGGCGCCGTAGAAGCTGGTGGTGGAGAACTGGCTGAGTAAGTTTTTAGGCAAATTATTAGGAAATTAGTAGCCTAAATTCGCTTGGGTTAAACTACATGCATTTAATTAGTGCAGTGCTAGTTGGTAATTTTTATTCACACATTTCAATTTAAAAATGTAAAGTTACAACGATTACTTAAAAGAGCGACACACAAGTTTCTTGCTCGTTCTCTTGTTTTAATGAGACAGCATTCCCAATGAGCGGTAGTTTAAAGCACACCGGTACCTTCTGCACCCACAAGGGTGCAGAACACAGAAACCTACTGGACAACCAGTGTAAGTAACACTGGACGAGGGTTCGATTCCTCGCTCGCACAACTACTTTTATTCAAGAGTAAAGTTATTTCTATGTGATGTTTTCTATGTATATTCTGTATGTAAATAGTATATAATAATATATACAAAAAAAGTTTGTTATTATAACAATTTTCTAGCGCTCATAATACAGCCTCTGCTGAGTTAGGACTAGATGGCGCTGTGTGAATTGTCTAGGAATATAATTATCATTATTATAACTTTTTAGGTTTCCAAAGTTATCAGGGCAGGAGTTGGCCTTCTATCAAGCATGCATGCAGCACACACGCCCTCCAGATTGCAGATGTCCACAGTACTCCGGCGGAGAGATGCCCCAACTACCCCCCGGGAAAGAGGGGGGATGGAGCAGAAACGAGGTAATTGTCGCAATGATATGTCCGGTACTGAGCATCAAATAGGTATAAATAAATATTTATTTTGCATCTTTAGGTAATTATAATAAAAATGATAAATTTTGACGAGATGAAAAATGTCTGTAGTTCTGTTTGTGTGTTAAGATTTCACGTAAATACTACTGTAAATGTTACTATCAGGATGACACACATGCCACCATCCAGTCCCAAACTAACCAGACTTTATATTACGGATACTACAATACATTCTTTTTCTTTTGCAAATACATTCATAATATACATAGACACCCAGACCATTGCAAACAATCGTACTTATGAATACAAATATTTGTACCGTACGAGAATCCAACTCGCGACCACTGGATATAAGGCGGTGTGCTAAACCATTTGACCACTGAGGTCGTCAACTAGTCTACATCACTAGTATCAAATATTAACAAAGTCTTATTTCCGATCTAGATAATGGGACCCTTGCTGGACCCCAAATTGTACCCTGTTCGTGTGGCAGCTAGTCCAGAGACCGCGACATCAAGATACGACCAGCCTAATGCATTCTTGGACAAGGTAAGGCATAGATAACGTAGCTGTGCGTATCATTTTGGACGGGACAGTCGCGCTTTCAGGCTATGTGATCCTTTGTTTCCAGATAGAGCAAACAAGTCCCAAGTTTTAAAAACAAACATTGGCTTCTATTTAAGTAAAAACTAAAACTATAAGAGTAGACCTTTTAAATTTTAGGTTGCGTAGTAAAAACTCTGTTATAACAAGCATATTCTATAAAAAGCTGGAATCGTGTCGTATCAAAAACTAAAGAGATTGATGGAAAATCATGGGAAATGGCAAGAGCTTCACAGACAAGACGGCAGCTCTTAAATAAGAGGTAAAAAATATAAACTTATTTACTAAGCAAGTGGTCCAATTACTGCATTGTTTGTTCACATTCAGAAAAATAACTATGTGCGCCACGTTTTCTAATTTGTATATCTATAATAACAACTGGTAATATATTTTTATTTAGCTCCAATCCAAGTATCCAATGCTGTACAGCATCCTCCAGAACGAAGCGTCGCCGGAATTGAAACAGAGGATTGACAGAGATCGCAATAAGACTATTTACCAAGTAGATTATTGCGAGAGTGGTGAGTGTTTTACAATTTAACATTTCTTTAAGTAATAGCCAAAACTAGGTTTGTTGGACACTGGTCTTATTACCCTATCATTAGGTATTAGTTCCAACAAGAACACACAACCTGGAAAATATTTCAATAGCGTACAGAATCTACAATATCAAAGTTATTGCTGTTGCCGTGCTCTGTTATTAACACCATAATAGGGAAATTCCAGACAATAAACTTCAGCCCTATTTTAAATTAAATATATTTGGTGCTATGATTTTAGGTGTAAAGAGAAATCTTGATTTTTAACTGGTATCAAAAATTTTTGAAATTATTATGTCGTCATATTTTATGAATCTGATTGGATGTAAGTGGAAGTGAAGTGTGTGAAAGAAATTATGTTACACAGTAATGTCAATTATTAAAAAAACAATTTAATCATTGACATTATTGTATCAAGGTACTTTAGAAATGTTCTGTGACATCCTGAAATAATGAAAAATAGGATAAAATGTAATGATGATCATGACATGACAGGTCCTGGAGCAAAATTCGAGAGTCTTCAAAGGGCAGCTGACGAGAGTGGAACTGGTCCCTGTGCGCAGCCGATGCGGCTACCTGGTGACCCTTGCAGAGTTGGCCCGAAACCACGGAAAGCAGCGCCGAGGACGATGTCGAAACAGGCTGGCGCTGTTGGAGCCAGTGACCAGAGGGCGAAATGCGGTATTGTATTGCGTTATTCTTTAAGGTAAAGTTAAGAATTAAGAAAGGAGGAACCTATGTGTAGATACATTTATAGTATTTTGTTATAAAGTAGGAAATTCGATAATAAAGCGATCTTAACATGTCAATTTTGAACGCATGCTTTTTATAGTTCTAATGCATTAAAGGCAAAGGTGTAGTTTCAAATCTAAACAGCTAATAATGCCTTTTATCAAATATAAGAATTAGCAGTGTATAATCCGCTAACGAAGATATACTAGTCTGTTTATAATTTGTCCTCAACTATGCAGGGCTATTAAATTGGACGGGTTATACGAGACAAATTCACATTTCCCTTTTATAGAACATTAAACCTATTTATATCATATAATAAGGTAGAATTTCTTTTAACAGAAACCACATCAGCAGTGCCACCTCTCGGCAAAACAGAATACCAGGACGGCGTATCGAAGCTAGGAGCTATCATAATGCGCGACAAATTGCACAGAAAGTAGACCAAATAGTAGGTATTGTAAACCGCAATCATGAAGTAAATAATTTGGATATATACAATATTGTGTGGGGTAATAAAATGACGATGCATGAATCTTGTCTTTATTTAGTAAACACTAAGATGCATTTCTGATCAGCCAGTTTAATCCAGAAATGAGTCTAAATTACCGATCGAAGGACATTGCATAGGACCATTTCATGTTTTCAGTATAGTACTACTATAGTACCATGAACATTTGACATTTTGCAATCTACGAAATGAATGGATTCGGGAAAAACTTAAAATTCGGAATTTTTATTATATTTATTGGCTTGTATGCCATACTTGTTGGATAAAATTGTATATTTGCAGCAATAATCACAATTAGATCTGTATCCTAATCTTGAGCAAACTCAGTTTGCCAAAATATGATTTCGTATGATGCAGTGAAATAGGGTTTATAGTTTCCACTAAAACAAATGCTGATAAATAGACGTTTATGTATAAAACCACGTATACAATCTGTCATGTCGTAGACGACCGTGCACTAGATATGAGTTCTCCTCTCTTGTACAACGTGGTGCCCTCTCTCCTCTCATCTCTCTTAGTAGACTGGTCTTCTCTCCTCGCTGAATGTTCTTCTCTCTTGATAGTGTGTTCTTGTCTGGTAGATATCCTCATCCTGGTACTGCTCTCGTCGTGCTGCCGAAGCACTACCGCTCGTGCATCAGATGTGTTACGCTCCCTGCAATATTTATTTATTTTAGGAAGGTTAACGGTGTAGTTTACGTTACTAAAAACACTGAATTGTCCCATGCCAATTAATAATCTTTACTAATATTTGTATTAATTTCTTATTGTTTTTCATGATATTCTAAAAGTTAATAAAGACTCCGTAAATCATTGCAGATCAATCAGTTAGTTAATTCTATGGATATGTTCATGTTCAGAATTCTAGATAAAATATCCGCATTGCACCAAGTAGATTTTTAGCGGTAATTTTTATCAGGATACCGGATATCGCATGGAGGACATGAGCAGTGTTCATTAGTTTATGTAGTTATATTATTTCACAGAGAGATTGTGATTGTAATTTATGTATAATTACAAACTAATTATAGTCGAGAAAAAAAAGGGTTATCGTCTGCATAAACGCTTTAAAAATGAAAACAGAAAAGACAAGTAAAAGATTATTAAAGATTAAAGATTGTGTTGTAATCTGACCTGCCGAGCGAGATGAGTTTATCGATGTCCGGTGCGCGTCGCACCTCTCCGGCAGCGGACAGCGTGACCCTGACGGCCGAGGACGACGGCAGCACCGGCGGCGGCGACGCGGGCGGACTCGACGCGGCCGACGCCGAGGCCGAGGCCGACGCTGCGGACGACGCCGCCGACGAGCCGAAGGCCGACGGCGACGAGCCGACGGCCGAGTCTCGCTTCGCCGAAGACTCCGAGCCGGAGGTGGAGCGGCGGCGCGGGGGCGGCGCCGGCCGCGCGCGCGACACCGACGCGGCCGGGATGTGCAGCGACGCGGTGATCACGCAGCTGTCGTCGTCTGACCCGCCTAGTGTCTGACAATATTGAACATAATCTGAAATTGACGTATCGAGCAAAGGGGACCGAGCTGAATAGAAACAGAAATAATCTCTATTCAAACAAACTTAATATAAGAACTTTTGAATGTATTTTTTGAGTCTACGCGGCCGGAATTATGAGCTATGCGGTGATGACGCAGCTGTCGTCGTCAGACCCGCCTAGTGTCTGAACATAGTCTCAAATTGATGTATCGAGCAAAATAGATCGAGAAATATACTCATACTTATTACAGTATAGTTGAAAAAAGAAAGAAAGAAAAGAACTTTTGAATGAAACACATTTTTTTTATTCTACACAGCCTGTATGTGGAGCGACTCTCAGCTGTCGTTCTGACCTCCTAGTGTCTGACAATATTGAACATAATCCGAAATTGACGTATCGAGCACAGGGGACCGAGCTAAATAGAAATAGTAGTAATCTTTATTCAAAAAAACTTAATATAATATGTCATATTTTTTTGTTCTACGCGGCTTGAATGTTGAGCTACGCGGTGGTGACGGCGCTGTCGTCGTCTGACCCCCCTAGTGTCTGAACATAGTCTCAAATAAACGTATCGAGCAAATAGAACCGAGCTGAATAGAAAAATAATCTTTATTCAAACAAACTTAATATAAGCAATTAATTTTTTTATTCTACCACTCATACGAAACGCACACTCATTACAAGAAGAATGAGCATAAAAATTGCATGCTGCTCTTTTAAATAAAAAATGTTTTAAATAAATACACATTAACAAGTTGTCAACTTTAATCAATCAATAGTCAGTTGGGCGATATGGTGAATGTGTACCTCATTGTAGTCGGAGGCAGAGTCATTAGAGTCTGCCGCGGAGTCGTTGCGGGCGCTGCTGGCCAGACCGCCGCTGAGACCGCCGCCACTGTTAACACACAATATCATCTCAATAGCTGCCTTGACATGTACACTCCTACATGAAAGAAGGAGTATGTAAATGAACGCAAACAGAACGATTTCGTGCGTGAGTGTAACGTATTTTTTTATTAATCAATCTAAATATATATAACTCAAAGGTGACTGACTGACATAGTGATCTATCAACGCACAGCCCAAATCACTGGACGGATCGGGCTGAAATTTGAATTTGAAACATGCATGTATGTTATGACGTAGGCATCCGCTACAAAAGAATTTTGATTAATTCTATCCCTAAGGGGACAAAATAGGGGATGAAAGTTTGTATGAAACTTTGTCAATTTTAATCCGATCGGGCTAAGTCTTTGCATGCATAAAGCTACTATGACGTAGGCATCCCCTAAGAAAGGATTTTGATAAATTCCACCCCTAAGCGGATAAATCAACGCGAGCGAAGCCGCGAGCAAAAGCTAGACATTAAGTATAGACTTATTGACTTAATCGGGTTTTTATAGCTAAAAAAACAGACAATTATTCTAAGATATGTATTATATATGTTATTAAAGAAACACTACATATTGAGACCAGGAAGGGAAAACGACAATTGACAATTTAGGATTTCAAATTATAAAGCTTTTTGAATAAAACATAAATACAATAACCTTTGACAATTTACACAGCGCCATCTAGTTCGAATACAACGCTTATGGATTTCTGCACTATTTGCTTTATATTTTCAAAGTAACCTGTAAAACTGACCTGGTAACTATGGTCATCGTGGAGGTAAATGAACCCGATGACGTGTCTGATGCAGTTTCTCTCGTCCTCCTCGTCCGGGAGTACGTTTTGTCACTGCGTCTGCGAACAACATAACAGAACATTTATCACGTTATATATATTACTAGCTGTCCCGGCAAACGTTGTTTTGACTTAAAATAAAAAAAAAATTAGGGGTGGACTACCCCTAACATTTAGGGCGATGAAAAATAGATGTTGGCCGATTCTCAGACCTACTCAATACGCTCACAAAATTTCATGAGAATCGGTGAAGCCGTTTCGGAGGAGTATGGGAACGAAAACTGTGACACGAGAATTTTATATATAAGATTTACACAGAGTAATAAATGCTCTAAAGTTGAAGGTTGCCACTTTTTTTTAGAACATATAGTATTTTTTTTGCAGTTGTAAAATATAGTAATTTTGGTAAATTGAGATAAAATCTATACATATAAATAAAATTGGAGTGTCTGTTTGTAATATTGCAGTAACTGTTTTTTACTACATGCATATGAATATAAATACGGTACATACACCAAAATAATATTTTTTTAAATTTTTGTCTGTCTGTCTGTGTGTCTGTTTGTTCCGGCTAATCTCTGAAATGGCTGGACCGATTTTAACGGGACTTTTTTGCTGATGTAATAAGGAGTAAATTAGACTACTTTTATTTTAGAAAATGAATTTGAATTTCACGCGGACGAAGTCACGGATACAGCTAGATAATAATATAATATCAGTTGGGGAGACAGGTACCTTCTTTTAACGTGTGGAAAATCTAAGGGGAGACAGGTACCTGGCATTGTCGTGGGGTCCACCGGTGGCGGCGGCGCCGTGTAAGAACTCCTCTCGCGACCACACGCGTCGCACGCCCCCCTCAGTGCTCCCCCCGCCGCCCCCTCCGCCTCCCCCGCTGCCCCCGCCGGTCTCCGCAGGGGGGCTCGCACCCACCACGCTCGCGGCGTCCACCGCCGACGCAGACACTGTCGTGTTCCTGTAACAAATATATCATTTGGTGACTTGTTCTAGAATATTGTAGATTTTTTACAATTTACAAATTTTTACAACTTTACTGCTTTATATTTATGTGTCTGTCTATATATGTACTACACGACTAAACAGCATCAGCTGTCATTAAATTTTCATTCATGAAAGTTAATAAAATCAGAGAAGACAGTGTCACAAAAAGTGTTATATCGGTTTCTATAAACATATTCTCCTCATCTCTAAAAAAACAGGCGATGGACAAAGTTCCAGGAAACACCTAGTATCTGTTACTCTTTCACGACAAAAATGTACGATTATTAATCAATTTTGATAAGAAGATATGCATTACACCACACTCACAATCACGAGTATGGACATATATTAAAAAACATGCTATAACTATCAGATGACAATTGTAAGTAGCTTTGACGTGGTCTAGTGTTTTGAGTAGTCATGCTCACTAAAATGTCCAGACTTGTGGCGGCGTGGTGGGCCGGGTCATTGGGCTCCCTAAAATATGGTCGAGCGCAGTGATGGCTGGCTCATCCGTCATACTCGTGAACGGGTGCTGCTTGTAGGGACTGGTCTGCTCTAATCATTATGACTGATTTCCTCTTATTAATTGTTTAACCAGTTGGTTATATATTCAATATTTTTTCTATTTGAGTATTTAATTGAATTAGTGCTAATTGGTGGTTTGTATTCACACAATTAAACTTAAAAATGTAAAGTAATAATAAAATTATTTAAAAGAGCAACACGCAAGTTTCTTTCTCCTTCTTCTTGTGATGAGACAGCTTTCCGAACGAGCGGTAGATTAAAAAAATGTAATGACTATTCAAAAGTGCTTCAATGTAAGTTTATTTGAATAAATGATTTTCTATTCTATTCATGCCTCATAAAAGCGTACGAAATCTGGGAAACTTCTAGAATTATAAAAGCAAAAGTGTCGATAGATCTTAATAAAACTGCAGCGGCCACAGCTCCTGCTGCCGCTATCGCCTGTTAGCTGCGTGTGTATGGGAGTGTAGAGTACTGAGTACTGGGCACGTACTGGGCTCGTCGCAGCAGCAGCGCGTCGAGGTGCGCGGGCTGCGCGTGCAGCAGGTGCACGTAGGCGAGGTGCAGCGCGGCGGCCGGCAGCGGCCACAGCTCCTGCTGCCGCTCCACCAGCTGCCGCACCACGTTGATCACGTCCGCACGCTCCGACAGCTGCTCCGCGCTACATATATGTTAATTAAAGGCATTAGCTGCTTTTATACACTCTTTCACGCGGGAATTGACTAACCAGGTAGAAAAGAATATGTATGTAAATGTAGACTAAGAGAACGAGAAAACCACGCGCCGCTTGGTCGCGCTACCCCGCTAACCCCACTGCGCTGGGGGGAAGGGAATTGTTAGTAATGGGTTAAAATAGTCAGGTTGCCTCCACGCGGTTCCCCTTGGAAACCATCGTGATAAATTCCTGGTGAATTTGTCACGATGGGCTAACTGACCTGATCTCATGTTCATCTTATCATCTTCCACTGGTGCCCCGCCAGCGTAAACCGTTAGCACAAGCGGGAGCAACATTACATTATCATCCAAAAAAAAAAACACCACTGCGCTAATCTTTTACACCGGCGGGGCACCAATAGATGATGATAAGATAAATATGAGATCAAGTCGGTTATGATTTCATTATGTCAATTACATTGGCTGAGTGGCAGAGAAGTTCATTACGTGTGCTATGCAAATCGATGTAATATGATTGGATTTAATGGATAAACATGTATGTAACAAACCTGGCAGCCTCATTAGGTTTGTTTCTGTGTAGTATGTTTGGCGCGAACACGGTGGCCAGGTTAGCAGCGTCCATTTTGTTTCCTGGCTGGTGATCGTCTTCAGAATGTGTGGCGAGTTGCGCCAGGAATGACAAGAGAGCACTCAAAGTATCCCGGTGGGCTGCCGGGAGCAGCTGCACTATCAGCCTTAGGGCTTCCCACTGGAGACGCCGACTTCGAATTTCTAACATCAATAATAATTTATTTTTATTTTTATATAAATGTATATGTACAAAGCCAAAATAATTTGTTTAATATTAAAGCACTGCAGCGCGTTTTAGTCTACCTACCATTAGTTGCTTTTAGACGTACGCTCTTTCACGCTGAAATCGGCTTTCACGAAAAAAATGTGTGAAATGTGCACAAAGAGAACTAGAAAGAATGCGCGACGCCAGCTCGCGCATTCCTGCATTTTTCAATGTGACTGCTTTAGTGCCTTCTTATAATAATAAATTAATAAGCTTCACTGAACGATTGTGAGTGCAGAGGGCGCTCTAAACCCGCGGAAGGACTAATGGAGCGGCTGAAGGCCAACTACAGCCAGACTGATATGACTTTAGTTTGAGGACACTTTTGTCTTATTTTCTTTTTCTTTCAATATTATTTATTGTGTGTCTTCTATAAACCCGCGGAAGGACTTATGGAGCGGCTGAAGCCCAACTCCCGCCTGGCGGGTATGACTTTAGTTTGAGGACACTTTTGTCTTATTTTCTTTTTCTTTCTAAACACGTGTGTCTTCTCTAAACACGCAGAAGGACTTATGGAGCGGCTGAAGCCCAGCTCCCGCCTGACGGATATGACTTTAGTTTGAGGACACTTTTGTCTTATTTTCTTTTTCTTTCAATATTATTTATTGTGTGTCTTCTCTAAACACGCGGAAGGACTTATGGAGCGGCTGAAGCCCAACTCCCGCCTGGCGGGTATGACTTTAGTTTGAGGACACTTTTGTCTTATTTTCTTTTTCTTTCAATATTATCTATTGTGTGTCTTCTCTAAACACACGGAAGGACTTATGGAGCGGCTGCAGAACAACTCCCGCCAGACGGTTATGACTTTAGTCTGAGGACACTTTTATCTTACTGTCTTTTTTTTCAATAGTGTGTCATCTCCGAAAAATTAGATCTTAGACACAGGATACCTTTCGTCATCAAAATAATACTTAAAAGATACTCACTTTGTGTATGCAAGAAAGCCTGATATAAGTCTCTACAGAGCAGAGGATCGGGCAGATCCCTGAGGAATTCTTTGAGTAGGGTGGCCACATCGTGCGGACACGCGGCGGCGTCTAACGCTGAACACTGTCCCCGCTCCCACTCCTCTCGTAACTGGAAATCAAAATTTTTAGTCGTATTTTTTTCTAGCCATTCTTAACTTAGACGGCCTCGGAGGTGTAACGGTTTATCACAACGCCTTGCTTCCGATAGTCGCTGGTTCTATTCCTCGCATGTTACAAACATTTGTATACATCACGAGGATGGTTATTTTAAATAGACAATAATATATCTAAAAAAAAGCAAACGAAGTCGCGTGTAATAGGTAGTACGATTATAAGTTTAAGAGCGAATAACACAAATTGGGTCGGGCGCGGCAGTGTTGCAACAGCCGATACGTTTGTGAAAACATCTAATTTTGTGTATCAATATTTTATCCGTCTGTTGTTACAACGTGCGTTCACGATTTACACAACAGCTGGCTGTCACAATAACTATTAACATGCAAGCTTAAAACTGCATATCCCCGACTCCTCTCCATACAAAACATGTCTTTTTTCGGACTACTCATTAGAGTAGTCCGAAAAAAAAATTATTATTATTATTATTAAATAATAATAATATTTTTTTTTTCAGACAACATGTTCCATTTTGTTAGTAACAACTTACTTAATAATATAACTTATCCTACGTTAGTAATACAAGATAAAAATACAAACAAAAACAAAATATTATAAAAAGGTAACCTTTAATTTAACCTTAAATTTACCGAATGACTTGTTCCACCCAGTGTCCTAGAATGGGACAGTCTATTTTACAAGCAATTGCCTTCAGGACACTGTTGGAACTCGTCCGCACTCTGCCTAATAGGGACGTAATTCGCTTTCACCATATAGCATCGGTGCGCTCTTGCGCAAATAACTCTTGCGCTGATGCTGGCCGCAACTTGCCTTTACAGCTTCACCGGAGGATAGGGGGCGAGTGCAGATGGCACTCCAAACCCGCGGAAGGACTTATGGAGCGGCTGAAGGCCAACACCCGCCTGACAGATACGACTTTAGTCGGAGGGCAGCGTTAGGTGTTCGAGCCTCGGCACAGGCCGTAGTAATTTCGATCTCCGTTTTAATTGAATGGAGGATCAATCTGGTAGTTTATATAGAGAAGAAGTGCAGAATAGTAATATTGTCGTGTCGTATCAAGAATTAAAGAGCATGATGGAAGATCGTGGAAAGTGGCAAGAGCTCCACCGACAAGAGCGTAGCTCTTAAATGATGAATGAATTAATATATTGAACAATACTCACTTGTCTAACTCTCTTTTTGGACGCTGACACCCTGAAGAGTCCTATTGTGTGTAGCCCGTGCCGCCGCAGGTGAGCTAAGCAAGCAGCCACCAACGCTGGTATCTTCGGTCCTCCTGTTTCCTCCAGACCAGACCAGGCCCAATCACCGGAGTCACAGGATTCACTCTGAAAATAATTAATTAAACATGCAATTACTCAGTTGTCTAATAACAATAATTGACGGCCTCAGTGGTCTGGCGGTTCAGCACAGCTCTACTTCCGATGTTCGCGGGTTCGACCCCTCGACCACAGATATTTTTTCGTAAATACATACAACATACATAAAAACACCTAGGCCGATACAAACAATCATAGTTATTAGTACAAATGTAAGGTTCAAACATTTGTATTCATAAGTATAATTGTTTGTATACAATACAACAAATACAACGGATTTGGATTATTAAAAAGTATCTATATATTTATATCAGTTGTTTAGTACCCATAATACAAGCTCTGCTCATCCTATCATCCTCCACTGGTGCCCCGCCAGCGTAAATGATTAGCGAAGGCGGGTGCAACATTCCATTATTATCCTCTAAAAAAACTGTAAAGGCCAGAGGAACACATTAAAGAATTAAAACTTTAGCCGTATCAAATCACGGCTGAAGTAGTTAATATCATCATAAAAAAAAGAGATTATACGCACAATAGAGAACAAATAAAATTAATAAAAGAAAAACCTGTAAAGACCAATAGCGGCAACAGAATTAGAAAATAAAAAAAACAGACTATCAATTTCTTGTAGAATAAATAAGATAAAAGAAAGTATTTCTTCCAAAACAAAAACATAACTAATTCTGCACTAGCGTACAAAAGTCTGAAACCTTCTACGGCAAAACAAAAAGAAGGAATGGAAATAGGACTCAAAGCATTGCTCGACGCAGAAAAGAGGCTACTCTTCAGTTACTAGTCAGGTAAATTATAGTTTCTTCTTTTTGTTAATATTACATTCATATAGAATTCTAAAATAGGATACATCATCCTTACCATCTTCAGATTAAGATAAATCTTTGTTGAGTTTTTGAGATTTTGGCTATTTACTGAATTGTTTTCTTAATAAGTACTAGGACGTTATAAAATCGCACAGTTTGTGTAAATATTATGTGAGTACTGTTGCACGAATAACAACGATATTATATACACAAACTCCGCGATATTATAAAATCCTAGTACTTATGTAGAAAACACAGCGCATTCGAGACGCCTCTTGGGGAAAAAGATTTACGAGTAATAAAATTTTATATTTGTTTATCCACAAATCGGCGCGTAGTATTCACCCGCTGTCTAAATGTCGGTATGTTTATTCATGTTTAAGCTTATTGCAATTTCTTTAATTATCACTTCAGTATTTTATGCGTTTATAAAACATAAACATCATACAATAATAATAAGTTTATTTATTTCAGAAAACAGAGTCAATTCCCACAGTAATTTGTAGTTGAAAGGAATGTTGAGTTGTTACGTTGAGTAAACTCCTTTTGGGTAAGGTCGAACATGCTGATGCTTTTGCTAAAGTCTTATTTTCATTACATAGTATAAAACAAAGTCGCTGTCGCTGTCGCTGTCTGTCCATCCGTATGTATGCTTAAATCTTTAAAACTATTTTGAAAAACGGTTAACTATTTTGAAGCGGTTTTTTTAATAGATAGAGTGATTCAAGAGGAAGGTTTATATATATAATACATGTATACCCGTGCGATGACGAGGTGAGTAGCTAGTCTTTAATAAGTGTCTTAAATAAAATGCATCATCGTCAATAAAATGTCTCTAAGAATATCTAGAGCCAAATAATAATTACATATAAATGTGTTTGAAATTAGCTGTAAGTTTATTAATTGTAATGTATTTATTAAATAGTGGCTACTATAACCGTAACCATCAGACTGTCCGTTTTTTTCACTTACTACTCTAATGCTATTGGCTGCAGCTAGCCTTTACAGCTTCACCGGACGATAGTGCAGTGCAGTTGGCACTCCATACCCGCGGAAGGACTTATAGAGCGGCTGAAGGCCAACTCCCGCCTGGCAGATACGATTTTAGTCTGAGGCCACCGCTAGGGATTCGAACCTCGCCTCAGGCTGTCATAATTTCTATCTCCGTTTGAATTGGACGGGGGATCAATCAGATGGTCCATATGCTTGATTACCACCTATGTGGTAAATAAAAAGAAATTATTTGAGGATGATTGTTATATTGGCATATTTAGTAAGTATGTAATGATAAATTTATAAGTAAAATATTATTGAATACTGCATAACATGTGGCTTCGATGACGTACTACCTACTCGTTATTATTGAGACGGCAGCCCAGACAGTTGCTTCCGAAGGCGTGTCTGTACAAACAGACAAACAATGACGAATGCAATAAATCTTTGAAATGACGCTCTGAGCTGAATTGTTGATGAGTTTTTGTCAAATTATCTTTAACTACAGATAAACGTAACTAATAACAATATCTCTACTTTAATTCTGTTTCTTCTTCTCTTTGCTTCTCTATTCTGCTCTTTGCGAATTGTATTTCTGTGTGACGGGATATAATATCTCAGGACAGGGGTGAAGGGTGAAGGGTGAAGGGGATTATTAGTAGTGTGGATTAATAACACTATTGCTAGCAATGTACCACGTCAGGTTGACCTCCACGCGGTTCCCCCTGGAAATAATTGTGATAAATTCTTGGTGAATTTGTCACGAAGTGCTAACTGATATGACCTCATGTTCATCTTATCATCCTCTACTGATGCCACAGCGCCATCTAGTTCCAAGCTAAGCAGAGTTTATGTTATGGGTACTAGACAACTGATATAAGTACTTAATATTTTTTTTGTAAATACATAGATAACACCAATCGTACTTATGAATATTGAACCCGCGGCCGTCGAGAATAAAGCGGTGTGCTAAACCGCTACACCACCGAGGCCGTCAAATAAAATATAATAGTAGTATAAGTATAATGATCGTAAAAGTAGTATAATATAAATAGTATAATAGTGAAAGCAAATTATTTGTTAATGTTTGCTAATCGGTGGTTTGTATTCACACACTTAAACTTAAATTGTAAGTAAGAAAAAATTATTTAAAAGAGCAACACACAAGTTTCTTGCTTGTTCTTCTTGTGATGAGACAGCATTCCGAATGAGCGGTAGATTAAAAAAAAATGTTATGACTATTCAAAAGTGCTTCAATGTAAGTTTATTTGAATAAATGATTTTCTATTCTATTCTATTCTATTTAATTATTTTGCTATAACCACAGCCCCACAGATGTAAAATCATTATATGGGGGGAAGTGGATTGTTAGTAACATGGACTAATAGCCATCATCATCACTAGCAATGCACCATGTCAGGTTGACTTCCACGCGGTTCCCCTTGGAAACCATCGTGATAAATTTCTCGTGAATTTGTCAGGATGGGCTATCTAACCTGACCTCATGCTCATCTTATCATCTTCCACTGGTGCCCCGCCAGCGTAAACAATTAGCGCAGACAGGTGTACCATTCCATTATCATCCAACAAAAAAAAACATCATTATGGATGCCAGGGTTATTGTCCCATCGTTAACGTTAAATAAAATTTAAAAGAATATCAAAATAACAATTCTCTAATGCAATAAAATATCACGTTTAAAAAACTGTCGCAAATAAAAGCGACAGTCACAATATTAAGACAGTGTTGCCATAATAAAAAAGTTCATATAGAACATAATGACTGCGTTCGCCCTTTTTGAACGTCATCGCATAACCCAGATATCGGTCTCGTAAAAACTCGTGCGAACGATTGCGACACACCGCAACGCACGTCAGATGGATCTAATAGGTCGCGTATGACGTCATTATGACATCACAGGTGTAGAGTTACCTCGGTGGTCCATGATTTAATTGAGAGGAAATGTGGGTAGTTCTTTTTACATACAAACATTAACAATAACGTTCTCTATGGATAACATTAGAGGAAATATTTTTGTCCATTAAAATGTATCTTTGTATACCTATGTTCCCCATTTTTAATATGTTCTTCTTCTTAGTCTATTGTTCAAAGCAAGGTCGTAACCACCAGGATTTCTTCTTCCAATTAATACTCTCCAGGTAACTCTGTCCAGTGTCAATGGTCACCGACTCCAAATTTCAATTGGCGGCACCTCGAATCGAATCATGAACCCACCTCTTACTTCTCCGTCCACTTAATTTATATGTTAATTCTTTTTTAAATTGTAAACCTTCTAATATAACAAAATTTGCTTAATTCACACCGTCATAATAAGAAAGTCTATCAAATATTTTTTTTAAATGTGAATCAACAAAGAAAATATGCCTTCCTGTATTTTCATAGAAGAAATCATTAAAAATTGTAAATTTTGGAGGGGAAAACAGGGTAATACAAAATAATTATTTCAGCTTTTTTTATGCCTTTTATTCTCTTCGCGGAAATAATGGATGTTAGAGGGAACATATACGGATATAGCATAGAGAAATGGAGGCACGAAGAAAAAGAAATATAATTGTCAAATATCCATTCTTAAAAAGTTTAAACGCCCGCGATATCTCATTAGAAAATTATAAGAGGCTCGAGTAAATACAACGTCAGTTTTTCTCAGCTCAACTTATATTCCAAACTGACGATAGATTTGAGTTACCAACCATATCTGTAATAGACCTATACGAATAAAAATATATTTTGATCTAATTTGCTGATAGGTGTCACAGACTGATTTTGATTCCATTATCAAAAAAAAAAGAAAAATTACGATAATCTGTCAGAAATTATAGTCGAAAGTCGTCGGCAGAAATCATTTATTTATATCATTTTAGGCGGATTTTTTGTATTACCTGTTTTTTTCTATCGTAGCGTTATCAGTAAACAGATTAAACTGAGTAGAACTGACAGGAAACTCAACGGAGTTTAAATTTTTTATTGAATGAAACAGTAGCCCAGAGCATTGCCCTTGGTCTGTGCAAGCCCTAAATCTCTTAAAATATTAATAGGATTACTTACGCAATAGGTACAATTTATTTATTACGTTACTGATAGTGTAGCAGACGTTTATTGAACGAGATGGATTCAAATATACATGTTGCTCAGCACTAGACGAAAACAAAGCATAACGATGCAAATTTACGACCCCGTTAGTAGACACATTCTGAGAAAACTGCGAAACTATTATTCAAGAAAATTAGTATGAAACGGCGTAAAATTGGAACGCTCTATTTTGATGGCAATTATTAATAATGGTTGCAGTTTTTAAGTGTTTAGACCGAAGTCTCTCGCAACGTCGGTATTGTCAGTCAATTTTCATAAACTATTAAACACTTTTCTATATTTACAATTTATTATTTACTAACTGTATCCGAATTTATTTGTATAGAAAATTCTGTCTGTAGTCTATACGAGTAGAGAGAATATATAATATATAGAAATATTTTCAGTCAGACGATTTTGTACAAAATAAAATGTACATATACAGATATAATAGAAATTCTGCTTTTTTTAATTAAGTACGGTGTTCTACAGAAAGCTCTACGCCCAAGAAGGTCTTGAAACTACAAGATGTATGGTCATTCACCATCACTATGAACGTTTAATGTTACTATGAAATTCAGGATTTGGTCAACCTAAACCAAAGAATTATATTCCAAACATTTTCATAAACGTTGAATGTTCGTTTATTAGTTTAGTTGGAGCAAGGCTGTTTGTACGTATGTGCGAAATGAACTCATAAATCGTTATAATAAATCATAACACTGAATTTTCAAGACGTGTAGTGTCATCATAAGAATTATAGAGTTAGAAATGCGTATTATGGATAAATGTACGTCTATGTTCTTATTACCTTCACAATTTAACTGAAGTTTATACTATATCACATACGTACAATTATATATATATAATAGATAAGATTTTTTGTTGAATCTTAGTACACACAGAAGTTTCATTACAAGTAATATACATTACAGAATATTTAAACCAATACAATAGAGTAAAAGTAAACCTGTATGTGTATGCCACAGCAATAAAAAGGGCTCATAGCTCAATGTGAAGAATCACTCAAGCAGCAAAATACTGACTTTCTTCAGTTATTTTTTTTTAATATATTTTATAATGTGGCATTTAAAATATATACAACTCTAAATTTTTTACTCTAAATACTGACTTTCTTCAGTTATATCCTCGACGGTGAATGTAATATTTAAAAAAAACGATAACAATAGAAAATGAATAAAGAAATAATAAAGGAACAAATTCCCTGATGAGATTAAAAAACTGACAAGCTTAGGTGGCTAAATTGTTCTACATGAGTCTAACAACCTCTTAACATTCTCAACAAGCGATACAATATATTTAATAAAAATCAAATAATATGACATTCTTGTCACTGCGAAATTTGTCTGAGAAATTGTATTACGTATTGCACTTAATAATTTTCGTACATTATCGTTCCAATATATTTCATCATTCAATATAAATTCTTTCATTATTCCCTTCTTTCTATCATCAACATGACAACCTATGGTGTACTGTATATACTCGTATTTGTATAATATAATAATCATTTCACATCATTATCTCTTTTCATGACAACTGTCCGCTTGCAGACAAGACAGACACGTTCCATAGTTCACCTATAAAATATTCTCACGTCATCCGTTACTCGCCTTATACAGCTCTGTTCCATATATACATTTTCTTTGTTGTCTTAATCTATCGTTAATACTATATTCCTTTCAATATACTCATTATTAGTTGGGGGTCTATTTCATTTGTATATTTATGGTTATCGACCCCAAAAACCAATACAAATATGCGCTTTTTATGATTGACTTATTTTATATAGACTAGCTAATAAGCTGCTGGCCCACGTGCTGGAAAGTGGCCATCGTCGTTGACATGCTGCTCTCATAGCAGCATAAACATCACGTCGTCCAGTAACCCCTCATGTTTACCATGTACTAAGGCGTCATACCTCCGTACTCTGAAATTTCATTGTTAAATCTTACAACGCACCTAATGTAGCTAATTGGTGGCAGAAATATGTGATATCGAGGTACCAAGCAGATGTCTTAGTGCAGGATACAGCTATACTATTATCGAATATTTCATCATCATCTATAATAAACTATGCTGCATGACGGTGGACAATTAACCATAGACTAGGATATGATCTGCACTATATCAGATAGGCCCAGGTGCACTTCGACACGTCACCCAACGTTACGTGTCTTGGCGTCAACACCCAAACTATTTCTGCGCGCTCAAATGCCGAATGCCAAACTCTCAATTATCCGACCAACGAAAACTGACCCCATCCCCTATTAACCAGTTTGCTGTCGATGGGGGGACGCATCGATATTTTCATGGGTCGCAAAATATTGGCCAGTCGACGCTAGACTGGCTGACTGGGTGCGAATAGAAAATAGATATCAAACGTGCATTGATTGTTCGCTCTTTTTAATTCATTCGAGTTTCTATAGATAGATATTTGGATTTATTTTTGTATCGTGCAACAATATAGACTATTTATTACATAGACACGTGCTAGACAATATTTCAAAGTCCGAAGACGTTTCTGTTGAAGATTTTTATACGATTTGCTTCATTAATTACATTGAATGAAGTATAAACGTGCAAATTACATCCAAGGTAATAGTAAGCATCAATAGAATAAGGGACTATATATATCCAGAATGCAAGCAATAAACATTACTATTTTTTTGGATTTCCTTTATATCGTCTCGAGAGCGCTAAATTTAATATCATCTATCCTATTCATAGTGGTTAATCAAAACGCTTCTAATGTTACCGCATTTGTTAAATTAGTTTAGAAGTTATGTGGGAACAGATGAACATACAAATCAAAATCATAATCCTCCTCTTTGTTTTCCGGTAGTCAGGTAACAAGTGCTACTTTCTTCTTTTCCCTTCAATCCTAAGAGTGGTGAACATCTTCTTTCTTTGTATTTCTATGTATTTATGACAATTATAGTCCGTCTATGCAAATTTCTATTATTAGTTTTTGTTGCCAATAAATAAAACTATTTTGCAGCCATTACCCTCTGCTATTTCTGAACCACAGAACTTTATCTTGTTATTTTAGATTAATAGGCTGCCGTTTGCAATCAGATGGGTCGTCCACCTAGCTGGCATTAGACAACAATTAATTTTGTAATTTTTGGAAACTTACATCATCCCCTTTCTCTAAAGCTCCGAGCGAGGCAAGCGACGCTCTGGAGCCACCGTGCTGTCTTCTCAGCGCCCTCTCGGTCTCCACGCACTGAGCCAGCGGTACACCAAACACGCTTCCAACACTTGAGTCTGTAAATATAAAGACTTTCTTAATCTGTATACATACTGCTAATCCGGTTTCAAAGATTGGTATTGGATTTTTAAGGACAATGAATACAAGAAACTTAATGGCAAAGCATTAATCTGTCAATTCTGTCAATATTTTTTAAACCATGGTAAAAAAAATATAGTAAGTCGTAACTGTACTATGTAATACATGTATAATGTCATGCCCCTATAAAATTGCTACAAGATCTGATCCTCCAACCGAAACGCAACTTACAAAGAAAATTCTTTGCAACTGGTGAAATGGTGAGACAAAGATACCAACACTGACGACATTGTGTGAAGTCTGGTCATATCTATTCGACTCCAGCTTTTTCTTTAATCTGCTTATTATAGCTGCGTCCCTTTCTTTCTTTCTTTTAGGAATATATTTTAAACTGGCATTAAAAATATACACAACTCTTAATTTTCACCCTTATATCACCCCTATTCTTTTTATTATATAAATCTATTGTCATGAACTACTGGAACACTAATGCCTCTGTCTTAAGGAGGTGGTCCTTGACAGCGACGACACAGTATTATTTACTAATGTGGCTGTTATTGTTACACTACACTACTTTGTAAAATATTATATTTGTTAGTACCAATAAAGCATTATTATAATTATTATTATTATCTCTTAATAATATGTTAGTCTTAACAAGTACACCGTTAAAACAACGCGACTATACTATTTTAAACTTTTATCATGGGTATGTTTTTATAAAAGTAATCTCAACTGGACAATTTTAAACATCTGTAACATAAATTTTAATCTTTTTATATTTATTGTTAATTGCTATTTATAATATATTGTCTATTCCTTATTTAACGAAAATGGCAGTCAAATATAAAAATGTCATGGGGTCATCATTCTCCAGCTAGCTTTTCAAATATTTTCGATCAATCTATCGCACATCCGATTGATCTCCTGTCCCATTTAAACGACGATCGACATTTCAATGGCATGCTCCAAGGTCGAAGCTCTAGCCATCTCCCTAAACTGAAATCGTGTCCGTATACTTGGCCTTCAGCAGCCTTATTAGTCCTTCCACGTATTTGGAGCGCGCTTTACGTTGTTGTTTTGTCCAATGTTGCTGTAAAGGCAATCTACGGTGAACAGCATTAGAAAAGTTAAAAAAATTGCATTACGATTTTTAGCACAACATTTCTTTCATAAAACCGCTTCGTTGCGAAGTGGCAATCGTTAGATACATTAATTGTAAAGGTCGAACTATTCTGGTCTCACTACTAGCAGCGGTCCAACGCACAATAGAAAGGTGGGACAGTTTTAGACATAGCGTCATTCGGTTTATGTCGCGATTGATATTATAATTCAATTTTTATTGTTGTGACGTCTGAACAGTGATGCGTGCGGATTTATTTTGATAGCTGAGGGAATCGCTGCCGACATTTTAAAAGACAATCGAGACTGGAATTCTTAGGGGCATATGAAATTTGTTAATCATTATCACAAGTTTTAATAGTACAGCCAAGTGTATGAAGATTGATGATGCTAATCTTCTTAATGTCGGTCTGTTTGTGGTCATTTAAGATAAATTGTGCCTCGCCATTGTCATCAAATCCGCTTTCAATTAGTTCCTTTTCAAAAGCACTATAATGAATAGGTAATTTTTATGTTTCTGTCCCCTATTATATTTAATAGTTTGTTTTGATGAAAACACACTAAATCTGCTCCTTGTAAGGTATAAATTTATTACCGTAATGGAAACATTATTAATAAACCAAATTAATCTAAAGGACGGAGGTTGATTTGCAGCATTGAAATCAAATATAGGTATGTCAAGTGTACTATCATTATTGACATTAACAATTGACAATAGTTCTGATTCAGATTCAGACCATCTGGGATTACAATCATAAACATATATTACTATCAAGGTGCGAGATCCCGCCAATCAATTACACAATTATAGTTCGTGACCAAACTAATACATTATTTAGAACTAGATGGCGCCAAGTCTATTTATTATTGTTATTCGAATATTATTACTCTTCATAACCAAACAAACGCTTAAACTTGGCCCAAATCAGAAATAATGCAGAGTGAAGTATACAACAGATTATTTAGAGCATGGTTGGCTGAAGAGAACATTAGTTAGGGATCATTAACACAGAATGCGTGTAGGTAGCCCATATTCAAAATATCTGTATTACATTTGGCATTGAAGAATATTTGTACCACGCCCTCGCGAATAAAGGCACGAGATTATAAATTAAATTAACACCTACCAGCTTCTTGAAATAACTACACTAGAGTCCGGAAGATGTCAACTATACAGATACCTTAATTTACTAAATCTATTACTTTCACATCAATAGAACGTCTTACTAAAAGATAGATATATATGTGAGTGATTTCACTAGAGTATGCAGACATCGATGTTTGTAATAGGGTGCCAAATTACTAGGAATCATCATTGTGACTAAGCAATAAGCTGGATGTTAAAATAACGATGAGGATATCAGTTAATTTTTACTTATATCTCACCAAATAGGCAAGTGTAAAAATACTTTCGTGTTTAATATACATTATTTAAATTATTAACCGGATCTTCAGTCAGCTCGTGACCACGGCTAGTGCAACCTAGTCGAAACGTCGAGAGAGGTAAATACCTTTATTTGCCATAAAATTATTCGTGTTAAGACCCGGTTAATAATTTGAATAATGTAAAAATGTCTGTCAGAACAAGATGGTTAACTTATATCCCATAGGAATCCGAGTATCTAATCAGATATAATAGTTAAATATCATATTGATACTAGGATTGTATATATAATTTTTATCACAGTATATGAACATTTTAGACCTGTACCTGTACCTGAGCTGCCTGTGGAAATTATTTTGAAGGGGTTTAAACTAATTTCTACTGACACCCGGCATGCAACTGAGATATTACCACCACCAATCATTTGTATGTTTAAGAAGACAAAAAAGTTGCCGCTACAGGAATGAAGTACAATTATATCAGAGATATAAAAGAAAGACAGGATATAAATTATTAACTTATAAGACAATTACTTCTTCTCAAGAGAATAAATTCGTCATTGCTAGATGCAAAGCGACGTTAATAGGTTATTATTAAACGTATACATAGATTATAAGACCAGCCCTTCGAAAATTTCACCCCATATAGATGTTAAGATACAGTTATTATAAATTTGACCTGAATTATATTTGATTAGGAAAATATACGAACTTTCACAAAGAAATACAATTTGGCCCAAGTTCAATACAAACATTAAAAATACGGTAAATTATATTGAAGTGTAAACAGCTCGAGTGCGAATGCAAGGTTTGGTTAATTTTGGTAAACAATAGTTTTGTTAGGCGGTCGGTTACATTGAAGTATGCTTGAGCACACGTCTAGTTTCCATGGCCGAATATAATTTACACACACGTCATACTTATATACTATATTACAGTATAATTATTGAGTAGGTAGAACTTTAGCTGCCGCTTCTGGTAGTTTCGGCTCAAAATTTTTCTGAATCATGCTGAAGGTACGGTTATTAGACTTCGACAATTCAATGTTATAGTTGCTGTTGTAGAGTATTTTGAAGAATTTAAAAGTCACGTGAATTCATAAATAAAATTCAATGATAGAACTCATACAATTGAAATTAACGAGTTTTACTAAGATATACATTTGAGGCAAACACTTATTATTACGTATCCACTAGTAGAACATTATGAATAGGGTTTGTCTATTTTTTATGTTTATGCCCAGAATCAAAATGCATGCAGATTTCCGAAATTTTTGTAACGAATGTAAAGAAAGGATAAATAGTAAGAGTACTCGAGGAAAACTGTAATAATAAAATGTAATGTGTTAACTGAGCGAGAAATCAAATATCCGAAATCGGTATGCGTGTTGCATAAGTTATTAAAGAGAAGAAGCAAGAGTGTCAAAGATCTTTCCCCTGCATGTCTCCTTGGTAACAGTAAAAGTCTAGCAAATCCGTCATAAACATTTCGATACTTCTCAAGTCATATAGACAGGTCATCTGTATTAGACGACCTGATGAGGAAAACATGAAAATTTGCAATAAAACCGCTTCGGCCATCAAAAAATGTAATGTTTATGTTGGTCGTGCCGAGCAGAACAATATATTGCGCGATGACTGATAATTCTCATGTACCGTACACTATTTTTAACATTTGAGTACGCCATGGCGCCTGGCGTACATTATTACAAAAAACATTTTCATATTTTACGTTGAAAAGTTTTAGTCAATCTCTGATAGTATTGTGGAATGTTGTTTTGTTGCTAAGCGTAGTTTCTATTTCAAACAATTCAACTCTATATCTACTTCTGAGAAAATTTGTTCATACAAAAGTGTTGTGGCTACAATTTAATATAGCTGTAGTTCTCCACTTGACTTGTCACGCGCCAATTCCTGAGAGAACTATTTAGTGTCTCCAGAGTAATAATTCCGTTTTTATTTGCATATTACACGGTTATAGTCTTTTTTAATGTTTCGTGCTAATATTGTTTAAATATACACTGCCAGTAGATTTCGAGCAGCTGGCCTTTAAGACTTCACCGAACGATAGACGGCGAGTGCAGGTGGCAAAACCCGCGGAAGGAATTATCAGGAGGCTGAAGGTCAACTCCTGTCTGACGGATACGACTTTAGCCTAGTGGCACTGCTAGGAATTCGAACCTCGGCTCAGGCCACCGTAATTTCCATAGCCTTTTGAATTGGACCGAAAGAGGGCAGTAAATTTTAATGATCCCTGAGAACAATCTTTGAAACAGCTAATTACATTTCTAATATTCATAATATTATCTAACTACACCATAAATATTGCTTTAATACCGATCATGATATAGTTTCTTCATAATAGTCTAATATTATAAACTTTTTCAATCCCAAAAGTACAGAAACCCATTGTACTTTTTAACTGTTACTAACTTAACATTGCTTTTCATAGAAAAAAACAAATATGTTTGTTT